AAGTTTTGACACGGTTGCGCTGGAAGGCCTACTGATGTTTACGAACAATCAAAAGGCACAGTGGCTGCTGGAGAAACCCTCTGATGAGGGGATGCTTTGATATACGCATCCAGGCACGCTTCACCAAAATTTCAAAGCTCACCAGCAGGCAATTCATGACTGCTGCATGGAGCAGTTGAAGGATAGGGAGGCAGATATCACACCATGGAAAGAAGCTACCAACAGAGGTCCTGAAGAACTTCTTGCCAACTTGGAATCACTTGAAGTGGCATGACTGTGAGCACGAATATCCTGTGCAGTAATTCGCGAGCGCGGGCGCGCGCGTACATACCCTCCACATTGCGGCGTACAACGAGGAAGTTCTCTGTTGTTTTTGTGCCAGAAGAATGTCTTTATAACTCTTACGCTTTTGTACCCGCCGGAGCCTGCCAGTATGTCGTTATCAGTTCATTTCACAGCAAACTGAAGCTGTTACTATGGGTTACTATGGCGTTGCTATGGGTTGCTATGGAGTTGCTATAGTGATTGCGGTCACAATTGCCGTATTCTTGCCTATTCTGAACTTTGATCTGTATTGTTTCGATCCATACAGGGTTGTCGGTGTAAGTGAGTGATGTGTGCTTGAAAAAAACACTCTGATGTTTTGTGACTATATCCACTGATGATACTTCGGAGATGCTGTTGGTGCCACAAATTGTATTTGTAACGGAAATGCTTCTCCCCCTGGCCCTCGCCACACAACAACGCAAACTCTTGATTGTATCTTCAATACTCTTATATTATACCAAGAAATGACGAGGGCGCAGGAGGAGAGAGAGAGGTAAAGACTAGACAGAAAACGACGACGGGAAAGACTCCCGGGAAAAGACTCCGAGGATCAACAAAGAACAAGCAGTAATAAACCGAGGACAAATCGTGACGACCAATCAGGGACTAATACGTACAGAACACATGACCAAGACCAAGACAACCAGACCACGGACGAATCACACACGACTCTCATTCCCAGACCAAACTAGCACTGCGCATGTACTGCATTCACTTGACAGTCACTCTCACACAGACGGAAGCACATCCTCACACTCTGACAACGCGTACTCCTGTATGCACCACATACCATAAACGTCACACATCACACCATACTCGCGCGTACACCTAGACCATATATGACATCAGACACTGGACTCCACCAGACAAGAACCAAATACAACGACATGCGTAAATCAATACAAGACGAAATCCGTTACACAGCCCTCCGCTCCGGCGAGAGTCGACCTCGACTCTCGGAAAAATAAAGAACAAATGACAAAAATCCGAGAAAAGAAGCAAGACAACAGGAGGAGAATGATGAGCAGGCGGCAGGGAACGTGCAGAGGCTGAGTACGGTGAGTAGGTCCCTTGCCTTGGTCGACTTGCCAGTTCGATAGGGAAGCGCAGTGTAGAACATGTACAAATCACACAGACGGAACAGCAGAAAACAGCAGGCATGTAGTCAATCAGTGAAACAAAACATAACCTCGGCGCGGAGCCGGCATCAACATCGTTTTTTTTTTTTTTTTTTTTTTTTTTTTTGGTTTTTTTTTTTTGGTTTTTTTTTTTTTTACAAAACCCTCGGCTCTAAGCCGGCATAAGTGTCCCACACTTTCCCGATGTCGGACCATCGTGTCGTCCCACGACCCCGTATGATCCTCTTGTCGTCCCACGACCCATAATACTTTTATTTTACAATTCCCTGACAAACTAAATACTAGACACAGGAGCCCACCAGCTCACGAAGCGGACCGTGGCTCACCATGATCGGACATCCACAGGGCAAACCGGGCAGACCCGCAGGTCGACACAAAACAAGATAAACAAAAGACGCTCACTGAAAGACCAAACCGAACTAAGCTGACAAACCAAACAGGTACACGACTACACTGAAAGGCTAATCAAGAAACTGCACAAACCCCAGCAAATATACGTACACTGACTGCCAAAACCCAAAACAGAAAGACACAAGAGAGACACAAGAACCGGATCGCCGTCACAAAGACTGATGGTATCGGAACGATAGCGCGAAAAGATAACAAGCAACAAAAACAAAACCCACAGCACCCGGGCCCTGGGTGTGTCCGTGCAGTAATGCTTACGACAACAAAATAGGCAGGCAAGTGAATAAACTACAGCGAAAGCCATAACTGGGATTGACTCACCGGGAAAGAGGCTTGCTTGTAGTGCAGCGCGAGGTTGAACCAGCCTGATGAACGACCAGTTCCGCTTGCCGAAATAAAAATAATAAAGTCGCCACACGTCGACAAAACTGAAAGGAGAAACGAAAGGACCACGGCGAGCATAAACTACTTGTGGAGAAGTAGAATCAGGTTCGAGCCAGTCTCCACGTTGGGCGCCACTGTAACGGAAATGCTTCTCCCCCTGGCCCTCGCCACACAACAACGCAAACTCTTGATTGTATCTTCAATACTCTTATATTATACCAAGAAATGACGAGGGCGCAGGAGGAGAGAGAGACGAAACTTGGAGACGACAGGAAGGACAACAGGAAAGACTCCCGGGAAAAGACTCCGAGGATCAACAAAGAACAAGCAGTAATCAGTCGGGGAGATGTCCTATCTAGGACATCGCACTCTGAATGAGTCTGATTGGTTACCTGTCCCAGAGTTGTCATGGAAGCGTCGGTCGCGCACACGCGATGAGAAGAAGTGCTGCGTGAGCATTTCTGAATGTATGTGGAGGATGCATGATCGTAATGGCGATAGATTTCTTTCCGAATTGTTCAAGTTTGAGGGAATAGGCGGAGAATATCAGACATCGGCGGGGATTGAGGTAGTGTATATTCGATTCTCCATCGAATACCCGACCGAATGGCCGTTTTCGTTTGGGGATTTCATGTGGGGTTTCTCGTAGCCACGCGGCGCTTCTTTGGAAACGATCGGTTCTAATTATTTTGAATATTTTGCCTTTGGAATGTTTCTTTACCATGTTCACACCCCGTGCGTTCATTTCGCCCCAAACCTGGCCATGCAGAGGAGGAAGACGAGCCAGCAGGCGCTAGGCCCGTAAATTACTGCCTGGAAGATATTATTTGGCCAAAGCTTGCTGTTGGCGTTTTTGATTTCTTGGAGACAACAGCTCTTGGCTAAAACTTGACCTTGGACGGTCTTTCTTGGATATCAACCCAGGACGTGGTGGTCATGGACGTATCGCCATCGCTTTCAGCCAGATCCTTCTGCTGCCTGAAGCCAATGGCGAAAGTAAAAACTTTATCGCAGCAGCAGCTACTGCTCTGCTGAAAGTGCGAACACAAATTGCTTCGCCAATCCTCTTGTGCACTTGCAATTTTCAATGTGACCAAAAAGATTCGCTTGCCAGTTCCTTAGTCCAGGCGTACTCCACAACGAGGAAAATAAAATTCGTGAAGGCAAGAGGCAAGATACGAATCTCGACTCGCTTGAGGCAAGCCGCCAGGAGAACGACAACTTATAATTACTTTTGAGACGAAAGGCCTTCGTTGCGTTTGTTTTGAGTGCGACATGTTCATCTTCCTCGGACGCGACACAAAGTTTTGAGTCACGTGTCACGATTACTATGGGAACAGCATAGTATGTATGCTGGGGCATGCTGGGTTCCGTGATGTCCTATCTAGGACATCACCAGGACTGGTAATAAACCGAGGACAAATCGTGACGACCAATCAGGGACTAATACGTACAGAACACATGACCAAGACCAAGACAACCAGACCACGGACGAATCACACACGACTCTCATTCCCAGACCAAACTAGCACTGCGCATGTACTGCATTCACTTGACAGTCACTCTCACACAGACGGAAGCACATCCTCACACTCTGACAACGCGTACTCCTGTATGCACCACATACCATAAACGTCACACATCACACCATACTCGCGCGTACACCTAGACCATATATGACATCAGACACTGGACTCCACCAGACAAGAACCAAATACAACGACATGCGTAAATCAATACAAGACGAAATCCGTTACATATTGATCTCGCCTCATCCAACTGCCTATCTTCAACCCTTCATATCTGAGTGGTATCACTGTGGATTTCAATAAAATTTTCTGTGTGACCTTGTGATACCCACCACCATCGATTGCCGATGATAAACCTGGAAAAAACGCGATTTCAAAAATATTGTAGTTGACGTTGATTTAGTGACTTTGGCAAGTTTGAGTCGTGTCAAGAAGTCAGGTAGGATTCAGTACTAGGCAGTAGTGAGACGTGAGTGGCAGTCTTTGCCGGTTTCTGAGGGCATCCTGGATTTGGTGTGCAGCGCTGTGGAAATGGCTTGCTGTGGAGGTCCCAGCACTGGATGTTGTATCAAAGGTACGACCTCGTAGCAGACCCTAAACCTAAAAAATTCAAAAATTGACTTGAGTCTGTGGGAGTCCGCGAGAGAATGCCCACTCGTTCCGTTGTGACAGATTCCAGGGCCACGTTGAGGGGCCCTACCCCACCACCCATGGCTGCTTCTGGACTTGTTTTAGGTTTGGGTCCCGCGCACGGACAGAATGGGCACGAAAATGTGAAAAAAATGTAAATGCATTTGTTTGGCTCCTGGGTGGCTCGCACACCGTGGCACTATGCCGGAAATTTGAGTTTTTCCGGCCTGGAAAGCCTGTCAGTGAGGCGCAAGAACTTGTAAATCATGTCCTGAGGGCCAGCATAGTGGCAGGAGTGTGTGGTCAAAATTTCACTCAAATCCACTGAGAAACACCAAAGTTACGGTCAATTGAATGCCATATGGAATTTATGGGTAGGCTGCCCCCTTAATACTAGAACCAAGAAGAAGAGAAGGCAAGAGTACATTAAAAAAAGGTTTACGGTATGTAGATCTACTCTTGCTAGAAGATATCGAAGTACATGTGTACACAAGATACTAGCGTGCCGGGTTGCAAAATCAGAGTGGATCTGATAGTTTTCATTTTCTTTCTTCTGTTTTCTTTTTCAACTTAATCCTCCCTTTGGTGCGTTCATGGAGCTATGAAGCCGAGACCTCTCGCCGGCTGAGTGTGGGCCCCATCACCACACTCCACTATTCACCACAGTATCTGGAGATACATGCATGTGGATTTTGTAGAAAAAAAAGAAAAAAATAGAGGCTTTACCAGCACGAGTGCGGCTAGGGATGCACATGATGTATGGCAGAATAGCACTACATGTACATGTAAGTGATATCAGAGGAAGTCACATGCTGATTACCCCCCCCCCCCCCCTTCCCCCTCTGCAACACACACACACACACGTACAGTCAACTTCGCTAATAACGACTGCGGATATACCGACAATTCGCGAATAAGGACAGCATGTCCATGCCCAGAGCAAAGTCCCTTCCAACTGTAATACATATAATGAGACTTCGGGTTTAACGGCACTTCGCGAATAAGGACACTTTTTTCATGCCCCGCCGAGTGTCGTTATACGCAAAGTTGACAGTACTACATACAAAAACAGTGGCACACACACACACACACACACACACACACACACACACACACACTGCAGTTGGAAAATGCGGCTTTGAGAGAAGCATCGCCGTCCACACCGTACTGAGCTAACGGAAACTAAACAGTTGAGCAGTGGAATTAGCTAAATAAATCGGAAACAACATACCAAGCTCTACAAGACTAGAATCCACCAATGGTCTACAAAAAAACGTGCAAAATAGTAGAAAATACGCACAAGTGCAGTAAATACCCCGACCAGCAGATGTATTAAATGCCAGTACTGGTACTTGACATTCTATCAGTCAAGACAAGCTACATGTAGAGTATAAGTATGTGAGTGTATCTTGTGCAGCAAGACAGTACGTGAAGTGCCCAGCAACGTGTACATGGTTGTGATCGGTAGTTCTACGTGGACTTCTACCGGGTCTCTGTGCGTTCCATAGCGGGTTTTCAACTTTTCATGGAACTTTATACAGAAAGTGAGTAGTGGTGAACAGATCACATGACCCATACTCTATAGTCTAGATCATATACACCATAATCATAACAATTACATCGTACTACGCGTATGCAGTATATCGTGAGCAGGTCACATGACCTATAGATCATACACATCACAGGAAACTGTACTGTGTAATACGTAGGTCACATGACCTCTTTCGCAGTAGCACGAACAAGCTCTATTACAGACTGATGCAGGAGTCAATGCAAGGTATCACCATGCACACAAGCTGTACTCTGACATGTGTATGTCAGGCATGTCGAGAAAGGCAATACTGTAGGGAAGTGCTCGCACAGGTGTGGTGTGGTAGAATGCTATCGGCTTCTTGGATTCACCGGCGCCAGCCGTTTCAAACGAGTGGAGGAAGATGGCGCGAGCGGTCTGACGCGACATGCTCGTCTCCCTCCCTCTCTGGCTCTCTCTCTCACTCACTCTCTCACACACACACTCCCCCCTTACGACAGGGACTCTATCACAGGTTCATACAGTCGTGCCAAAGGCTACAGCGAGAGCAACAGAAAAACAGACGGAATGGGAAAGGAAGAAAGAAAGAAAGCATGTGTCAACACAACCCAACACAACACAACACAGCACAACACAACGCAACCCACCCAAGCGAAAGCGGCCGTTAAAGCCAGGTGGTCTTTAGAACCAGGTCCCACAGTTTCTGTGTAGAACTGTCCGTGCACGGGAAAACGGTCGTTAGGAGCAGGTGGTCGCTAAACCCAGAGGTCGCCTACACCAGGTTTTACTGTACAACCCAACCCAACCCAACCCAACGCAACCCAATCCAGCAGGCCACAAAACGAAAGCTGTGCGACAGGAATCTAGAAATCCGGAGTGGCAACTACCACCCAATAAGACCGCTCACAGAAGGCAGTACAACACCACAACAAACAAGCTTACTACATTGACCGTGTGTGGCAGGCACAGTGTAGATCAGTGTTTCAGAACTACCGTCACTTCATCTTATCCACCATGCTCTGTGTCCATACTCCATAAAATTCATGCTCCACGTCTTGTGATTCAATCATTTTTATCCGCTTTCATATACTGTATAAGCAGAAATATTCGTCTGGAATTTAATTATTTCGTCTTTTTCGTCCAAGGAGCTTTTGGACTAAATTAAATGTAGGACGAATATCGATTTGTCCAGCGTTTCTATACACTCTTATGATCCATGGACGAAATTTTCAACCGGACGAACTCCTTTTCTTTGGAGTTGGACGAAATTATTGACCGACGAAATTTTCTGCCTCTACAGTAACCTTCTGCAGGATTTTAATCATTTTAACCCTTTGGAGTCCGTAACTTTTTTGCTTCCGCAGAATTTGTGGCAGTCACGAAAATGCGCACTCCATTTCCGACATAACTTTGGTTCTACTTCACCGATTTTGAAGATCTTGGGCTCGTTGGAAAGCTCTTGGTGAGAGAAATACAATGAGCCCAAACTCGCCAAGAGCACTATTCATTGTCCGCCACAACGCGCCCCAAAAGCGAGGCCAGCTCCAGATCTGAGACGAAATCGGTCTCCTGTAGCCATTTCACTGAATCTAGCTCGGAACTGTTCAAATATTTTCGAGTAGAAGCTTACCTTGCCGTGACTTCGCGCCGCGCCAGTCCTGGCACATGCCGCCTGTCATGAAGCTGGGAAAATCCCTTTTTTTCACGCACTGCTGACTCGCAGCACGCAGCGCAGAAAATTCGAAATGTTCGATCGCTCGCCGCTCACTCAATCTTCAACGGAGAGACTTCGGACCTGTTCGAGGCGATAGCTGAAAGTTTTCTCTACCATTTAGACCCTTCGATTGTTGAATTTGGTCAAGATTTGGTCGAGAACCGAAAGTTTGACTGCGCACACATGCATACAAAATGCCCATGGTTCGAAATCGAACCATAGACTCCAAAGGGTTAAACATACGTTTTCATTCACTCTTCATCACTTTGTCGGAACTAGGTCTCCGGACCTGATGATAAGGCAGAAGTGCCTGTTCACCTGGTGAAGTAAAATAAAATAAACAAACAAACTTCATCTTGTCAAAGTTGATGAAGTGACGGTAGTACCAGCCCTGGTAGTGTGTCACAGTACAGCGTGTTTGATTAGGCCCCCGTGAATCAATTATTCATGAATCGATTCAAGTGTGCAATCGAACGCGCTCACTGGGTGCGTTCGATTACTGCCATGAATCCATTCATGAATGGAATCTCCTCGTTCGATTACTGCCATGAGTCGATTCATGAATGGAATCTCCTCGTTCGATTTCATGCCACGAGCCCTGGAATCGGTTCAGAATCCATTCACCCTATTCACACGGGGTGATGCGAATAGCCAGGGGCGATTCATGAATGGATTCAACATCGATTCGTGGGCAAAATCGAACGCACCCAGTGTGACGTGAAACATGCAGGGCATCGTACATCGCCCTCGACATGATTGTGTGGCTGCCAGCGCAGGTATTGAGATGGCCCTGCTGACTCTGTCCATGATCATCAGCCTCACCAGCCTGCCAATAACGCGCCCCACCAACCTCCTCATAGCCAGCCCTACCCATAGCCAGTCCACCAACCGCTGACACACACACACACACACGCACACGCACACGCACACACACACACACACACACACACACACTAGTGTTGAAACGAGCGTATCTATAACAAACGAGCGATCAGTTCCACTAACGAGCAAGCTATCGAGCGAGCTAACGAGTTTCATTGATGTGGCAAATATGATTATTTTTTGAATAATTATTTTTCTAAGTTCGATTTTTTCAGCTGGTTCAAATTATCACTGCCGGCATTTGGGGTTGCTGCTGCTTCACTTCGGACTGCTGTTTGGTGTCGAGATGTCTTTTCAGCGCCGTCGTCGATTAGCCTTTGTAAGAATAGACCGTTTTGCAAAGATTGCAAGTAGCCCTGGTCTTCGCTGCATCGCGGGAGAACACTTCCAAACGACTGAGGCTAACTTTCACTCGAATGGAGAGGTGACCGAAGCATATCCTGCTACAGGTCAGCAGATGCGGAACAAGACATCAGTAGAGTCCACCAAAGCTGCAACGACAACTGAAACAACTCAAGTGTCGTGCAGGCATACAGTCACCTGTAACTGCGAGTGATTTTCACTTTGCGCGGGACTGGACTCTCGATCGACCAGGGAGTCGTAAAATATTTTACGACTCCCCGCATGACTTTTTTTGTACTGCCATGTGTACGGAGTACGGTGTTCGTTAGTGCAAACGAGCTGGCCGCACAAACGAGCCGAGTTTCTGGCGAGCGAGCTAACGAGTATCCGGTGAGATCGTTTCAACACTAACACACACACACACGTCCACACCATTTGACCATTGGCCATTTGACGCCTATCGCCGGAGGCGATGATAGCGATGCCACAGCTGAAGCCATAACAGCTTGTGTTGGGAAACGTACACACATGTACACCCACCCACACCCACACAAACACACGCATACCCACACAAACACATGCACACCCACTCACACACACACACACACACACCAGGTACTGAGCCTACCTCTGCTGGTAGCGCTCCTCGTGCGGATATTTTCTTAACAAATCGTACACATCCTGCGGAGGAGAGAGGTTGAACTCCTGAGCACGCTCCCAGCGCTCGAGACGACTGATTCCTGGCACGGAAAACGGAAAGCGCAAAAAGAGTAAACAGGAAAACATGGTTGATCTCAGAACGGAGAGATACAGACAAATTTCTACTGCACAGCATCGTACAGACCTTGCGCGCTCGATTATAGCCCCGGGCTTTTATACGAGACATTGCCTTATTATTTTGATTCCCTCTGATACACGACCGGGCTCTAATTGAGAGGGGGTTTGTGTTCGAGCGCGTATGGAACACTCGTGAAGCTTTCAAAATGTTGTTGAAGAACCTGAAGGGTGTCCTTTTAAGCATTTCAGCATTTTTGTCTCCGAGGAAGCGGTTGATTGTCACATGACCTGTTGCAGATTTTGTTGACACATTGTGTAAAATACGCAATGCTGTAGACACCAATCCGTTTGGGCCATGACGGCCTCATCAGTACAGCTACGAGCTTTAAGCAGGCCGGAAGAAGGAAACAGCTGTATGGAGTATGCCATTGTCTTCAACAATTTGGAGTCGTGCTGCTGGCGGGTGTGGTGAATGAGGATGGCGAAAGAGCACACACACGGGAGCATTTGGACTAAATTAAAAAAAAAAAAAAACTAGTAAATTCCCAATCAAAAAGATCATGATGCTGCTGCGCCATGCACACGGCACTGGAGCAGGACGGAAGAGCTTCACCTATCCTATACCAGCCTGTAACAATAAGACTTAGTATTAGTTCCAACTCCACCGCATAAGCTCTCTGCCCAACCTCATTCACACCAGCAACATGAGTCCAAGCTGTTGTAGATATTGACAATTTTTATTCTCCAAACAATTGTTACAGCTGTTACTGCCTACTGTCCTATACATTCTCGGTGTACTGTAAGGCGACACATTTCCGGCGCGTTTACATTTCGGCCTCCCAGGGCTAAAACACATTTCGGCCACATTTAAAAAATTTCAGCTTGTACTGCTGCTGCCTGTACACACTGAACCTTGCAAAACAAAATTTTGCCTGCCAACAAATTTTCGGCCAAAAATGCCCAGGCCGAAAGTAGGCGAAGATAAATATGCGCCGAATAATAAATTTTGTTGACTTTACAGTACCTATATTTTCAGTACTTTCGGTGCATGTCTTTCACTCCTCTTTCAATAGCTGCACACACACACACACACACACACACACACACACACACACACACACACACACACACACACACACACACACACACACACACACACACACACACACACACTCATACATCTCATGCATCTCATCCAATAGATGAATGCTTCTCTGTACCCACAATTTCTGTTCACCTTTACCTGGTCTTTTGCCCTCACGCACGTAAAACTTTGAGCACCTTCAGTGCTGGCAACTGAAATCCGACCCCCCAGCGGTGCGTTCACATTCTAGCGGTCTCTATCTCATAGCTTTACAGTCCCGTGTTGAGTCTTTGCGATGTGAGCGCACCGCCCAGGGGTCGGACTTCAGTTGCCAGCACTGTAGTATAAATCCAAACGAAGTGCTGCAAATCATTCTCCAAGAACATTCTCGCACGTTCTCCATAAAAAGAGACTCGGATTTCACCAGTTTAATCCCAGCAAGTGTGCCCGGCACGGCATAAAGATGTTTGCTCTCTGTGACACGAACAGTCACTACTACAACGCTGATGTCTATTGCGGAAAGCCAGCACAGCCGCTTCAAAATGCACAGATGCGTTCCTCGAGTTGCTAGGGGACCACTTCAAGGGAGATAGATGGCCACAAGCTGTACCTAGACAATTGGTAGACATCCTTGCCACTTCGTGCCCACCTTAGCCAGCACAACACGGGTGTCTGCTGCACAATGCGAGCCAGCATAGCCGCTGCCACACACAAATACGTTTGGCGCAACACCGGCCATTGTCCTCAAGTTGCTAGGGGACCTAAAGGGCAATGGTCACAAGTTGTACCAGGACAACTGGTATACATCCTTGCCACTATGTACCCACGTTAGCCAGCACAACAAGGGTGGGTGCCTGCAGCACGATGCGAGCCAGCAGAGTTGGCATTCTGGCCGACCTCAAGAACGCTGATATCCCGAAAGGCCAATACGTATACAGAAGGAAGGGCAATCTTCAAGTCCTGAGGCTGCATGACCAAAAGTTGATTTACCTGGTATCCACCTTCCACAACGCCACCAAAGTCTGCACCGGAAAGCGCAGCCGTCAAGGCCAGCGCATCCTGCACCCGAAGGTCAACCAGAACTATATCGTACTTTCCCATTGCTTTTATTGTGCTTCTACTGTGCATGCCAGTGTGTAACTTGTAGGGTATACATGTGATGAGTTTGTATGACGGGAATGGGTGGCGTAGACAAGAATGACATGATGGTACAGGCGTTCACAGCGCTCCGCATGTCGCTAAAGTGGTGCAAGAAGTTAGGTGCGCACTTCATCGAGGAAGCAATGCAGAATGCTTGTCACGTACAAGCTCTCGTCCAGCAGCAAGCTAGACCACAAGGTGTTTACTGCCCAAGCATGTCGCCATATCTAACACACCAACAACCATGTCGTACAGTAGTTGCCAGGACCTCGGCATGCTCGCAAAAGTTCCAGTTCAAACACCGCGTGCAACGGTTATGGTCCAATCACCACCACCCTCACATCTTATTACGAAGACAAACCCAAGCCAACATACAGGCTAGCCGGAGCTGCAAGAGTCAGAGGTTTTGCAGTATAACTTGGAAATGTCCAAAGCGGTTGCTCCTCCCAATCCATCGCGCGGTGGTGCAGAAACAAAGAAATACGGGTCATCAAATGCTCCATTTCCGAAAGCAGGTATTTTGGCCTTTCTTTCGCAAATGTGGTGGTACCCATTCAGCATAAGGATACTGTTCTCCGGGAGGACTTCTGGCCTGACACTGTCCGTGCAAGAGAGTGGCGTTTCAAGGCAGACAGCATTGCAAACTCAGCAGCAGCGCAATGAGTGAATGTTAGATATTGCATGCGTCTTCACCTTGTACATTGTCTCTGATTGGACAGCTGCACTTTCGATGCATTTCTAGTATTTATTGCTACTGTGTGTTCCCGTCGGACAGCATTACGATTTATTGTTACACGTACGTTCTATGTCAAGTCAACCCTCAGCCTGTGTTCCCATTCGTTTTCTAGTTCTATACTTACTGCCATGACTTGTCCCGTTTATGGTTATACAGTCTTCTTCTTTTCCTGTCGTATTGCTTTCGTTTACCGGAGACTTCTACGGTATGTCTCTATTCGCCTCCATGATGTCCTTATCCTGACACTAGCATTTTCTGCGTCGCGTACGGCTGGTGGGAATATCTACCCCAGCCGTCGTGATGTAGACGCTTCCTCATCATTACTACTTGGAGGACAGTCACGAGTTCGGAGACAGCGGGTTCAAAATTACTGATGTTCGCAGATGACAAAACAGTCTACTCTAGTGATCCGTCGAAGGCGCGTTCCGAAGCCAAGTTGTCATCGGCACTGGAGATACTAAACAACCACCTTGGCTCCCTTGGCATGCAGATTAATACCGACAAAACCGTTGTCATGCAAATCCATCCCAAACGTGCCACAGGGAGTCAGCAACAACAACAAAGGCAACAACTGCAAATCACCTTGTCAAATGTTACGCTAGGGGAAGTGGAAAGCACCAGATGCCTAGGAGTCGTTGTTGACAATAAGCTGTCCTTTGACCAACACATTAACAATGTCGCCCGGAAAGCCTCACGGAAGATCGGTGTACTGCGCCGATCTTTCCGCCAGATGAACCTGTTTGCCCTCCGTACTTTCGTTGTCGGTGTTATTCAGCCTGATCTAGAATATATGCTCTCCCTGTATACCTTTCGTTTATATCCGTTAAAAATAGAAACAAGCTAGCCTCACTCCACCGGCGCGCTGTACGAGTTGCTTGTGGCGCATCACCCCAAGCTACTATCACGTCACTTCTTCACCACCTCAATGTTTCCTCTTTTCAAAATCGATCAGTATTTCTGTTCCTTGTATTCATTTTCCACTGTTACGCCGGCTGTTTGCTTGCAGTCCCTCTTTCCCATCTGTACGGCTACCCGAACTACTCGCGGCTCAACAACTCATAACATGAGTATCAATCGCTATAGATCTATGTCTGGCTTTCTGTCCTTTTCAAGTAAATCGGCTCTTCTTTGGAATTATTTACCAGACGACTTGAAGTCCTGCACTACTAAAACACATTTTTGCACTACTACCGCAGATTTCCGCGTCAAATAGAGTAAACTGTTGTTGTTTTTTAGGTTTTCCGGTTCTCGGGGCCTTCTGTTCGGTACTCTTTGTAGTTGTACTTCTGTACTGTTGAGCTATCCGAATTCAATATACACTAAAAAAAATAAAAAAAATCTACTTGGTGAAGGTAGCCAGCAGATAGGTGCAGAACAAACGAGCGTTGAACGGCTGATGGGACGTCACTTTCCGACCATTTACCCTACCGCTGAAGAGAGCAGGCCATTATGTAAGCGCTGTGCCGTGTGTCTGCTGCACAAGCCAGCTCTTTGTGTAGCACCGTGCTTCAAGCTGTTCCACACTCGGCCCTAGGCGTAAGTGTGATTGCTAGGATACGTGAATCGTGCTGTCCGCACAAATGCAGCTTGCTCTCTGCCTGCGTACAACATGTACAGTCGCGGTCAAAGACATCCGACCCGCGAGCCAAAAGCAGTGTCGTGTTACCATTTCAATTACATTACGCACGTTCCAAAAGTCAATCCGAGGGCCACATGGGCCGCATGAGCCCTGGCACTACTTTCGGCACGTGGGCCGGATTTCTTTGGCCACGACTGTACATACTAGTATTTCAGCAGGCTCATTCTTCGGTAGGTGCGTTCGTTTTTCCCTACCCCAAAAGGTAGGTCCTACTTTCCTCTATCGGCTCTACCCGGCTTGAAGCTGGTAGAAGTCGGTAGAAGTTAGTAGAAGTACGGTGTATCTGTGCTTGTGTGAGCATGAGAGCTGTTTTCCACAAGATATCGCACATCGTACTGTACTATAACAGGACTTTACATCGATGTTCAACTGAAATGGGCAGAGCAGCTTATTTCCCAACAAACATTCTACTCTACCAAGTATACAAAAAAAACCCTGAAGTGTGCAGGTTGGATATTACTTAGTAGACTATTTCCAAATGATGAACGGTACAATTCGGCCAATAAAATGTAGAGAACTCTTCCTCTCTTCCATGCGCTCTCACAGCCGACTCACTGCTACCCTCGGTAGCCATTACACACACCAACAGCCGTACAAGGAAGGGTTGACTAATTCCACCCACACTATACACTACACCAAATGTATACACCTGTAGACCTTTTCGAATAATTCAAATTCTGCTTGAGATACATGTACATGTATTTGATAAATTTCTTCAGGATATTGCTTGGGAAGTTCCCCCAGTTTTTTCTCCTATGGATTTCAAGGGGATTGGATAACATGAAAAGTAAAGTGGTGCGTACAAGCAGGTCTCCTGCTGCACAACTGCAGCTCAGTTGTATGCACTACGGCATTTCCCGGCGCTATTGCCATGGATACAGCAGCGCGCCCAAGCTCACCGTGACAAGGGCCAAAGTCGTAGTTGAGATCAAACGACTTGAGCACAACGGCGTGCTGCTGAAATTCAACCTCGCTGGCCTGCTGGTGTGTTGAGCCTTCACACGTGATGACAGGAAAGAAGAAATAAGCATGACATAATAAGCATGACACACACACACACACACGCACGCACGCACACACACACACACACACACACACACACACACACACACACACACACACACACACACACACACACACACATTTAATGCAAGAAACCAGGGCCCAGATTTCACATGGTAAAGGAGTACAGTAAAACCTGTCAAGGCGACCACTCGGATAAGGCCACCACTCAGACAAGGCGACCACCTGTCCCAGAAGACCACTGCAACCAGGATCAAGGGATGCTGTTTCCAGTCAAACAACCCTGGATAAGGAGACCACCTGGTAACGGAGATCACATTTTGAAGGTTCCTTGAGCGGTCGTCTTAGACAGGATTCACTGCATTCGTGGCATATTGTACGTCTACAAATTGTTGGCCCGTTCAAATTATCAAATTTTCGGCCTCCACTACTGCCGCCTCTATACACTGTCACACTGAAAAGCAAAATTTCGGCCAAACATGACCAGGCCGAAAATAGCCGAAAATAAATATGCGCCAAATATTTGTTGACTTATAGTATGGCGTACATACGTGTGTGTGTGTGTGTGTGTGTGTGTGTGTGTGTGTGTGTGTGTGTGTGTGTGTGTGTGTGTGTGTGTGTGTGTGTGTGTGTGTGTGTGTGTGTGTGTGTGTGTGTGTGTGTGTGTGTGTGTGTGTGTGTGTGTGTGTGTGTGTGTGTGTGTGTGTGTGTGTGTGTGTGTGTGTGTGTGTGTGTGTGTGTGTGTGTGTGTGTGTGTGTGTGTGTGTGTGTGTGTGTGTGTGTGTGTGTGTGTGTGTGTGTGTGTGTGTGTGTGTGTGTGTGTGTGTGTGTGTGTGTGTGTGTGTGTGTGTGTGTGTGTGTGTGTGTGTGTGTGTGTGTGTGTGTGTGTGTGTGTGTGTGTGTGTGTGTGTGTGTGTGTGTGTGTGTGTGTGTGTGTGTGTGTGTGTGTGTGTATGTGTAGTGAGTTTAGGGCCACGGGCTGGCTCCTGGCTTCTGCCAGGGCCAGCCCTGGTGAGTAGAAAACACTTAGTGATGCGGTGTTAGACAAGGCAGTCTTCATCTTGCTGCCGCGGAGGAGGAAAAATTCAGCGTTGACGACATGGCCACTTCGGATGTGACCACTCGCGCTGACCCTCTTTCGCCTGGGTGTAGAGGTCTTGCAAACCCTCGCCCAGAGTCTTTTCACTCGCGTGCACCAGCGGCTCGAAAGGTTGTTCTGTCTCTGGGAACGTGGAACGTCAGGACTCTTGTCGACACTGACGGAGATTTGAATACGGCGTCCAAAGCAAAAAAATCAAGGAAAGTTTGTTCGAATATTCGCGAGGAGAGAAAAATTGACCTTGTGTGTCGTCAGCTCAAAAAGTATGGAATGGACATCGTTGGCCTCCAGGAGACGCTTTGGTTTGGCTCTCATCAATATACTGTCGGAGATTGCTTAGTTTTGACAAGTTGTCGCCCAACACCGACTGGGGATGAGCCTGCTCGTCGTGAGCAATTATAACCCGTGGGAATGCGCCGTCACGTCAGTCGTCGGGTCCTGGTGCCGCTTCCCGGAGACAGCGCTAATCCAAGAGCTGCCCCGTATGGGGCCACTTAGCCAGTCATGGCAGTGGAGAAGAAGGAAAAGGAAGGTGTATGTGTGTGTGTGTGCGTGCGTGTGTGCTGTACATACGGTGCTGTCAACACACGCCTGTATAGCGTGCTAGTACCCTGGATGTAAAGTCGACTCTCAATTTTGCGAGTGCAAACATACAAAGGACACATGGATAGGAGTCACAAGTCACTGTCCACCACTGTCACTGGATAAGCAGCAGCCAGAATGTGCCATAACGGGGCACACAGCAGACAGACTACTGAGACATGTCAGCGACCTGACAGCTATTGCGAGTGCTGGGCAGCTTCACGTCACTGACTGTATTGCCATGTGACGTTCATCCACCGTCCGTAGAGGGCTCAGTTTGCCGAAAGCAAAGAGCGGAATACACAGAAGAAGGAGCAGTTATTTTTCGTAACTCTGAGTTTCACGAACTGAATCGATCATCAGGCGAAATTAGGCGTGTAGTGACCTGTATTATTTAAGAAAGAGAGTCCAGTCGCCGTCCAGATCACAAAGAGTGCACCGCTTATCGTGAGTGTGCGACTTAAACAACATGTGCACGTGTGTGTGTGTGAGGGGGGGGGGCTCACTGTAAGTAGACAGTGGAGTAACCGCCAATTGGGGCGACATACAGCAACTCGGCTAGAGTACTGTAAAAGCCATATATATAACGAAGTGCTAACTCTAACGAGTTAACGAGGAGAAATCTGTCGTTAAAATAGAAATCGTTATACAGAAATCGATACATATACTGTCCTATTGAGCGTTGAGAATGAGTGAGAATCGTTACCTTTGGTACACGTAAACTAGTCAATTTTGGGAAATCGTTATATATGCGCCTCGTTAGAATAATGGCTTTTACAGTACATGCACCGTAAAGATCCCGCCAGAGCGCCCCTACCTCCGCCACCCTTCGAGTAGGTCCAGGTGGGGAGGGGCGGATGGGCGACACCTACTGTATATCATGTTATTTTAGGTGTATTTAAATTTCGGTACCAGGGACCTGCCAGGTTTCAGGTGTAATGTAGAATTAGGTGACCAGCCTGCCCCTCACATACAGTGCATACTCTAGTGCCTTTTAGGTGTAATCTAAATTTAGGTGCCTAAATTCTCTACCGAAATTACCGAAATTAAAATTACACCGAAAATAACGTGTTATACAGTACTTGCCGCATTCAGTGCTACATGAAACAGCACTCACGCTACGAAAACTGTGCGTCTGTCTCGTGCACCAGCCAAAGGTCAAGAGCAGGAAGTCGTACAGACCCATCAAAAAAACCCCAGGGTTTATGCGATGACAGCTATCCCTGGTCAAGAGAGTGTGAACTGTTGTGTACATATCCAACCGGGTCGAGCACGCGTCTGCAGTGCGGTACAGTAGTCGCGCGCCCAAGAACGTTGTTTCCATGGGGTTAGCCTGGGACGTTCTTATTTTCAGCAATCTGGCCGCACTCTTATAGCACGTTCTTAGAAACAATCCGTACTGGATCATATGTATCCCACAAGCTGCCAGAAAACCAACACCGCCGTTCTTAGCTCTAGGCTGTGGCGTTCTTAGAATTTCAGGCTGGACGTTCTTGGGCTCCACGTTCTTCGGCGCGCGACTCCACTGTATGGTGTCACACTTCACAGAGTCACACGAGGATTCTCACTTCCCTGGCAAGAAGTCAGGGAGAGGCGCATGGGAGAGACGGGGGCGCTCTGGTAGCGGGATTTTACTGTACATGTTTTACGGCCCTTTCGGGTGTGCGTTACAGTACTGTCGGTCGCCGAAGAACTGGGGCTCAGCCTCCTAGCCTAGACAGGTTCTTATGTTCATGTATTACAACTGATGCACAGTTGAATCGCCGTGTATACATTGGTATGCTGTGCTTGATGAAGTTCTTGCCCGGTCGTTCTTCGGCGCTCCGTCCTTCGGCGTCCAACAGTACTGTATACATGTTATACTTGAAGTACCAAGAGTACATGAAGCCCAGAGTGTGCAGCTCAGATGGGTTGCTGTCACGGCCAAATAATTCCGCGATAACATCGTTTTAGCGATGCCGCAGCGCGTACACGCAGGATTCAATCAGGTCTTCTTCTGCTGCAGTCTGAGCTGCAGCTCAGTTGTGTGCACTACACAGCATAACTGCTTTACTGCACCAACTATGATGTAATCGCGGAATTTCTCCATGACAGACACCGATGCAGAAAAAGTCAGCAGCTGCACACTCTGCCGGGTTTTATGTACTGCTGTACTCTTGGTACTCGGCTTGATTACACTGAAAATAAATTTTAAACGAATGAACGTTTTATTAATTTTGGATTTTTGGCTTTGTACATCATGTACCGCAAAGTACCGTTGATCCGCCCCCACGCCATGTCGCTTCCCAGCTGGGTTTTCGGCAGGGGGGCGGGAATTAGATCAAGGCTGTCAAGTGCAGTACGATGTACAACAACGTAGAGGATCAGACTTAGGCTGCGTTTACACGACAACGCACGGCCAGTTTTCCGTTTTCAGTCCCGCATTTCTTTTTTCGTTTTCGTACGTTTACACGATCAAAGCCGATCCGAGGTGGTCTCCGTTTGTACCGTTTTCAAGCGTCTACACGAGAGCAAAGGATCCGCCAAAGTTCGTCATGTGCCAAGTGTTGCCGTGGAAGCACCAATCACACCCAAGTAATGGTTGAAAACAGGCACACGACAACCCACATCACATGACGAAAATAATAGTAGAAACAATTTTTTGGATTGTCGGATATCCGGATCCGTGTAAACGGCCGAAAACGAAACAAACGTGACGGAAAACGAGGCCAGCACACCGTTTCGACTGTTTACACACCCAAATTTATCCGGCAGAACATTTCCGTTTTCAAATTCTTCCACCTTGGCCAGCGTTTTGGTTTTCTTCCGTTTTGGTGTACAACTTTTACGTTTTGCTCCGCGTACCGTGTAAATGAACCATGGATCCGAAAGGATTTCGTTGCGTTTTCGCCCCCAGCGTTGTCGTGTAAACGCAGCCTCAATGTGCTGGATTGTGCACATATTGATCCTGGATTGGCAAGTATTGTGTACAGCAGTGCATGCGTCGGTTCAACATCGTATTTCGTTGTATACACCGAAGTCGCTTCACAAGGAGAAAATCGACAGGGGGCGGGAATTAGAGAGGGGGCGGATCAACGGTACTTTACGGTACTAGTAGTACGATCTTGTCAAGGCATGGCACAGTACACAGGTACATGGTGTCACCGAGTATTACAATAGTACTTATAGTGTACGGTATAGAGTGGCTTACGTACGTGTACGTATAGACGTGTAGCCACCCGAGTCGGCTTGTCCAGGTGCTGCTGCCTTCGCTGTCGAGGCCGCCTTCCCTGTCGCCCGCTTCGACTTGGTTTGCTGAAAGTGAGACGAGAGAGTTGTCTGCGACATTCTCGTCTGCGTCTCTCGGATGAACAGCAGCGACAAGATCAGTAAGACTCTCACGTCTGCTCACGTTCTTCAAGTGTTTTTTTCAAACAGTGACGACCTATGAGTATGAAGTACAGGTTGAGTTCAGGCTAGTTGTAGTGCGTTGCAAGACTAGAAAGAGGAGTGTGGGGTTCGTCCTCAATCTCTGTTTACTTTCACAGTTTCAGTTCATTTTGTTCAGCGACATTTGAGGCTTGGTCAAGTTTAGACAGTGAAGGAACATTAGTTTAGTTTTCTGAACTGAACACGTCTAGACCTGCCATCGCATGGGACGCGACTTGAATAATTTATTAGGTATCCAAGGGTTACCGTTTGAAAATCACCTGATCGATCAGCTGATGCGAATCACAACGACCTACATACACAGTACAACAACCTGAGTTCTGCTGACATTATAGTCCTTATGCACATTGTACAGATGTACGAAGTTCTGTACTATGGCCGTAGGTGTGTACATACCCGGTTGGGTGTTCATTGTGTGCTATACATGCGCGTTTGACCCATTTAGCCTCACAATTCATGGCAAACGATCACTTTTCAAGCCTTCTTCACTTTGGGATTGAACTAACGACTAGCTAGATCTCTGCCGGAAAAAGATTTCGTATGAAATGCCTCCATGGCCCATTTCATAGTGGAAATAGCAGTAAACACAATAGGGTCCTGCACATTCAACACCCAACCGGGTCTACGGGATTCTACACGATTATACGGGATTTCGTGCATCTGTACAATGTGCATAAGGCCTATTAGTTACTAATATATGCCGTACTCGTAGATCTACCGTACTATACCATGGTATACCATGGTACATGGTATACGCGCGTAGGATCGGATCGCCCTTTCGCGATCATCGTATCGAGAATGAATGCGTATACCGTATTCTACGCACATGGCACATCTTTGGTTTGGTGTCCAGCAGGGAATAGGTATTGTACTACTCCATGGTGTCCAGAAAGGAAGATGGAACCAGTAAAAAGTAGAAGAAGGAAAAACGGAGAGGGTGGGTGGACTGGGAGGATTCCTAAACCAGTAGTTGTACATGTATATCCGGGGCAGGACATGTTATGTTATGTGTATACCTTTATTATACTTCACCATAGGCTACAGGCATTGCTGCCTTCTTGCTGTGGATCATAATGATGCCACAGCTCCTAGGCCATGAGTATGATGAAAAAGACATGGCCGTCAAAGAAGGGTAAGTGTGTCACTATTGTTCCTCTCAGCTGGGTCTCGACTTCCTTGAATTCTGCTCGATTTCTTTATCCACATACCAAACATGAATGGAACCGAACATACCCGAAAAAGTACGAAATGCTGACAAGGGGGCATGGGGAAACCGAAACAGTTCAGTCCCCCCCCCCCCCCCCATGGGTCATCCCTCAAATAAAGATACCGGTAATACTGATAATGATAACCGTAATCAATAAGGGGCCGTCCGTAAATATCGATGTTTTTTTCCAAGACGATATTTGTTCATTTCTCCCCCCTCAAAACGAACATACACATGTTTATGCAAGGGATCGATATTTTTTAATGAAGTTCAATTTCCTCATGAAACGTGACCAGCTGCCACTCTAATGTCACCATACACCTAGGTTTACGTTGCCACGGTCGCACAACCTTGCCATGGCTATGCTCACGAGGTTGACTTTCACTTTGTGTAGGTCATAAACTACATGTTCGAACAGCGCCCGTCCATAGATAGAGTTCGATATTTTTTCCTGCAAAGACGAGACGAACAGGGCCCAAACCCCTCCCCCCGCCCCCAAACGAACGAATATCTTCTCTAAAAAAACATCGATATTTGTGGACGACCCCTAAGACAAGCTGAATCGACATTTGTGTACACTTTATTCATGCACCACCATCACTGCTGCATCTCGATGCAGCCCCTTCTCAGTAGTTGTCACGTTTGTCCTTGTCTCAGTACCATTGTCTTTCTGTATTATTTATGAGTTGGGTATGTGAACATAGTAAAAAAATAAATAAAAAATGCAATGTAAAACGGTGGAGACACTGCATGCCGCAATAAAACGATGAAAATATGAAGAAATACCTGTAGTGCAGAGAAAAATATGGTTTGAATCCTTATTTTTTCTCTGCACTATTTCTTCATATTTTCAATCGTTTTATTGCAAAGCGTCTCCACCGTTTTACATTGCATGAATAAAGTGTACGCAAATGTCGATTCAGCTTGTATTACTGATTGCGGTTATCAAACTATTGTCTCCTCGCCGTTTGTTTAAATAATAATGATAATTATTATTATTCTCCCGTTTATCATCTTGTTACAGTCGTGGATAGTTGCTGCATAACTCGTTCTCATGTGTTTCTTCTCTTTTTTTTATCTCCCAGTTCCACAAACATAACAATACTTATGGCTTTGTCACACAAAGTGCAACGTACGGTTCGGGCACAGCGAGCACCCGGAACGATTGAATTGTGGCTGCATGTTCACTGCGTGAACTGAAAAAGCACAAAAAGTGGAAAGAAAATGAGTAGGATGGTGCGCTATCAGCGTATGGGAGGGGGGGGGGGCATCAGAGAAGGGGGGGGGGGGGTACCACCAGAAAAGGGGGCGGGGGGCGCTGTGCCACCCCACTTTTGGCTAGAGCCCTGTAACAGTAGTGAGGGCGATGCCCATCTCCTTACTCTGCTGCTGCCAGTGCTGGAAGGCCAATGCCTGGTTTGTACCTGACTGTATTGTAGTCTACAAGGCACTCTACATGTACACCGAACAACGGTCTTTGTCAACCACACGGCGTGCACCCCAACTGCCCTAGCCCTGCCCGGCAGAATTACAGTACACAGCTGGCTCACAATTTTTTTGGCGTGCGAGCTACAGACCTCGTAAAGAAGAACATTGGCAGTAAGTAGGGCTCAAACGGTTAGTCCGATTAACCGGTTATGCAGACCGGTTACGAAGAATTTTACGGTTAACCGATAAAGATAACGGTTACGCAGACACTTTCAGTCAATTTTTCAAGTATCAGGTCGTTGCAAAGTATGCACTTTCGCAGGCTGTCGCATGCGTACGCAATTTCTGGGCTGTCAACTCAGTCATATCTGGTCTCTTGGTGTGAGAGTATGTATGTATGAATGAGCATGCAAGAGAATGTACATGTGTGCGTTGTACTGAATAGGGTACATTTTTTGAATGAGTATAGTCAAATATACGGTTAAAAAAGAGTCCGCAGGATTGCCGTGGCTTATAGGTTATAACCGTTAGCTTAGCAGTTAACCGTTAGGGGTAAAACCGTGATCGTTTGAGCCCTAGCAGTAAGACAATCTAACAGTTGTGACTTTCGCGTTGCACAGAGACACAGAGCTACACACAGCTACACACAGCTACACAGAGCTACACAGAGCTACACAGAGCTACACAGAGCTACACAGAGCTACACAGAGCTACACAGAGCTACACAGAGCTACACAGAGCTACACAGAGCTACACAGAGCTACACAGAGCTACACAGAGCTACACAGAGCTACACAGAGCTACACAGAGCTACACAGAGCTACACAGAGCTACACACAGCTACACACAGCTACACACAGCTACACAGAGCTACACAGAGCTACACAGAGCTACACAGAGCTACACAGAGCTACACAGAGCTACACAGAGCTACACAGAGCTACACACAGCTACACAGAGCTACACACAGCTACACACAGCTAGAGCTACACAGAGCTACACAGAGCTACACAGAGCTACACACAGCTACACAGAGCTACACAGAGCTACACACAGCTACACAGAGCTACACACAGCTACACACAGCTAGAGCTACACAGAGCTACACAGAGCTACACAGAGCTACACACAGCTACACAGAGCTACACACAGCTACACACAGCTAGAGCTACACAGAGCTACACAGAGCTACACAGAGCTACACAGAGCTACACAGAGCTACACAGAGCTACACAGAGCTACACAGAGCTACACACAGCTACACACAGCTACACACAGCTACACACAGCTACACACAGCCACACACACACAGCTACACAGAGTCAACAGTCGGTTTTGCTCGGACTGGGAAAATACATGTTGTAGGGAAAGTAAATCATACAGAACACTGTCTGGATAACATTCTTAAATTATGGTATAATTAAAACAAAAAAAACATCAAATGAAACCACAATTTAATGTGTCAGCAGAGAGACGACAAGCCAAGAAAAATGCAGGAACGGACTGACATCTCAGCAAGCAGGGCAGAAATCTCTCCGTAAGCATACATGTGTGCGTGTGTGCGCGTGTGCGCGTGCATGTACGTGTGTGTCGAGGGGGTGCGTCGGAGAGAGTTCACGCAGAATCGAGTCTAGACGGTAAAAACCATAATCCGATCAAACATGATGTCATACAAAGAAACAAATAACGTTACAATAGTAGATGGCCATTTTGTTTGAAATAAAAATGTTGCAGATGAAAAACAAAACCGTAAAAACATCTCCGCGAGCAGCGCTATGTGTAGAATGTTGCATGCTGGCCTCCAATTGATGGACACCATCAGGCAGGTCCGGTTATGATAGCATTTGTGCAGTTCAGTTATTGATAGCGGTCCGATTTAGAAAGAATTTCTCCTGAAGAGCTGGAGCTATTGAAGTGTGCCGGAAACCCGGCGACAATGCGGAGAATAGAAACGAGAGGGCATCGGCACGATTTCGACCACCGGCCATACACTGGGGCAAAAAATAACCAGCACCATTTGGAGGTGACACTATTCTGCGGCCATCCACGCTTGTGGCTACCGGGCTGACGCAACGGGGTGTGCTAACATCGGCAGGGAAAATAAGCCGAATGATACAAAATCGGGTGCTGCAACTCAGAACATAGCGGCATGCCAGTGTAGGTCAAATCAAAAATAAATTTGCCGTGACACGTTTCTTTCGAGGTCAACAAGGAAGACGTACACAACTCGGTCAAAACAACGGTCAAAACACACACAGACTGTACACAACACTACAATGCAAGCTGGCCGTGGTGGTCAACAAGGAAGACGTATGCAAGGTCAAAACACGGAGCGTACAAAGAAATACATGCAAGCCGGCAGTGCGGCGGTCAGGGGTTCGAAACGACACCCTCCTGATATCGGCGACTACTTGGCGACGGGAGAAGCTACTTGTGAAGACAGATACCAGCACAGTATATGCGGGCTGCCATGCAGTCGGCCAGCACTGCAGGGCAGCATCAAATTGCAAACATCGACACATTAATTATCAGCGGTGGCTATCTGCTAGTCCTGGCTCAATGCAACGCCAGATACAGAGTACAGTCTTCAGCCGGGTGAGGTCTGAGCGGTCTAACGGACGACGGCGACGAACAAGCCATGCGCAATACGAGAACGGCAGAGTTTAGAGGACAATGTGAAAGATGAAGTTTGTGGGCTGCTGGGACAATACACACCACGCGATGAGGAAGAAAACAGATATCTCAAGTCGTTGTTTGTGTTGCTGCTGTTGCATCGTCAGGGACTCCACCAACACTGCTAAGCGGCATTGTGCAATGGCGTGGTCTCTGCTACCAGCAGGCTGGAGGGATTTATATTACTTTGTCAACAGACGGGTTTGCAGGGCGGGGTTGCGAGCACGTTGACGACACACACACGCACATCGCCGCAAGTGTGACGGCACTGCTGCGAGCGGCATGCCCGCAATAGTGCGTTCACGGGGACGTGACTAGCGTGCGTGCGCGGCCATGCGGCCACACAGTCCACTGCCAACCAGTCGGCGTCGTTGTCTAGCCGCGGTGCTGGACAGCATTTCGTAAAAAAAAAAAGGCGTGCACCGGTTATAAATATTCATAGTAGTGATAGTAACAGTGCAGCGTGGTTCACGCCGTGCTCGTGGCCCACAAGCACACTGAGAGAAGGGTCCGGTGGTGGTGGTTGTTGTGGCTAGATCGGTGGTCAGGCTCGCTGCCCTCCGCCGTCACCGCTGCAGCTCGGTCTACACAACCTGGGTGACGGTCTGGCCACCGTTCTGGCCGGCCACGGAGCTCTGCTGCATCTGTGCTTTCTGCACGCTCTCCGGCACGTCGGATAGCAGCGACTCGAAGACCTTGACGAGGCCAGTGCGGTTGTCCTCCTCGAGCGTGTCCGATATCTGCCACGCCCAGTGATAGTGTTGGTTGTGATGACAATGGTGACGGTGATGATGCATGTCAGTCGCCATTGTGAAAACACACACACACACAAACACACACACACACACACGCATGCACGAACACACACAAACATACACATGGACACATGCACGTACACACGCACATACACACACACACACACACACAGAACACATACACACCCATGAGCATACATGCATTACGTGTACTCACCGTGATGCTCAATGAAATCCGATCGCAGTAGTAAAGTATACGTATGGTAGCAGGAGTATAAAATCAATGTGAATAATAGCCAGGGGTGATTCATGAATGGATTCAACATCGATTTGCGGACATAATCGAAAGCACCCAGTGTTCTTCTTAACGAGGCTTCACTATACACAGCTGCACTGCTACTGCACGGCGAGCTTACCTCGTCTGCGTAGCGGCTGGCGTAGAGGAAGAGCTCAAACACGGCACTGTCCTTGGGAAGTAGGTCAGAGTGACGCATGTGTGTCTACAGTGCATGCAGACAAGCGGAATAGACGAAAAGCCGTCATTTGTTTGCAGGAAACTCGCCTACACTGAAACAGTGTGACGGCATGATAATGTCAAGTGATGACATCATGATGGAGAGTACAGAAGCATGGCTAAGCACTAGGCAACAAGCAAGTACTGTGAACACATATGTGAACACGACAGTCAACTAGGAGCACACACATGCACATATTGCAATACAGCTTGACTAGTTTCAAAGAAGAGAAATGGAGAGAGACCGACGGATGAAAGAGGGAGGGAGGGAGGGAGGGGGGGGAGAGAGATAGATAGATAGATAGATAGAGAGAGAGAGAGAGAGAGAGAGAGAGAGAGAGAGAGAGAGAGAGAGAGAGAGAGAAAGAGAGAGAGAGAGAGAGAGAGAGAGAGAGAGAGAGAGAGAGAGAGAGAGAGAGAGAGAGAGAGAGACAGACAGACATACAGAGACAGACAGACAGGCAGAGAAAGACAGAAAGAGATGGAGACAGAAAAAGAGAGGTAGATGGATTGAAAGAGAGAGAAAGAGAGAGAGAGGAAGATAGAAATAAAGAGATAAGGAAAGCCAGAGAGAGGGAAAAAGAGAAAAAGAGAGAGAGATAAAGATAAAGTACCTCGGAAGCTTTTCGCATCATTTCCTGCATTTCCGACTCCTCAATCGGTCGCATTGCTGCGATTTCCGAATAATAGCTGCAAACACACAGGAGAGTCAATAAAAGTGTTCCTCTGAAACGTGATACATCAGATCTTGCATTACTACAGGTCCTCCCTCGTTATAACGAGTCCGGTTAGTACATAAACCCCGTTAGTAAATAGAAATCTGAAATCCCCTGGCGAAACGTGGTCTATACAACTGTTTACAGGTCCGGTTAAAACATAATCCGTTAGTACATAAAATTCGTTATAACGACCCTTTGCCCAGGACCCTGGAGTGCCAAACCCTCAGTATAAGATAATATTGACCATGCAGGACCAAGGCCAAAACACGTAGGATAAAGCAGAAAGACGAAACGTATTATATCTATGTATTCGTGAATATGGACGATCCTTTGCATCCAAGGAAGAGTTATGTTGGAGATTTTCAATTATCTTATAACGAATTGAAGCATCGATAATTTATATTGTATCTAGGGTAGCCCCGGTGAGTACGAAGTAGTGCCTATTTCACCTTTAGCTGCAAGTCCTGCTACAAGATAAGTCTCGTTATAAGATAACTTTTTCGATGGCCCAGAGATAATCTATGTTACTAACGTATGTTACTAACGCGGGGGGACCTGTATTACCATGAGGGGAGGGGGGGGGGGGGGGTGCTTTAGTCAGCACTGTCAAGATTGACTTCTCTGTCTCTTGAAATACGGAACAGAAAATAACCCGTGAGGATTGAAGCTTTCCTCGGGTACATGGGAAAGTTGGCCAGGGAGACCCCTGAAAGAAAAAAGTGTATCATCAGAAATACACCCCTTGATCAGGGATTTCTCCTGGAAGTACAAGGTAGGGGAACGGATGAAGTATCGTGGAGAAGTTGCTTTGGGGGGGGGGGGGGGGGGGGGGAGGGAGGTCTCTTCCTATCCCACTATTTAGGGGGCTATAATACATGGCTGCACCCAAACACGTTGTGTATCTGGCTCCGTTGTCCATGTACTTTAGATTCTCCAGATCAAGCGGTAAGTAGTGCTCAGCAGCCGGGGTGATAATCAGATGTATATGGGGGGGGGGGGGGGGGTGGAGTGGAGTGGCGGTGTGGGATTAGAGAACGAAGCACAGCGTTGCATTGGTAGGTCTAGGCCCTACCCGAAGAAGTCACAGGCAGTGTGAATTACAGCATCTCTCCCCCTCCCCACCATCCCCACCCTCACCCTCTCCCGTCCTGAAGCAGAGCAGGAAAAAGCAGGGCAGGGTATTCAACCCCAAAACGAACCTCTGGATTTTCTGACGATAGTTCTCCTTCACCTCCTTGGCATAGAGCAACTTGGTGGATGGCGAGTCCTGGACGTGGTGGCAATGAGCAGAAGATGTGCACGCACAAAAGTCACTCCTTGCGACGAGCACATCCAAAAACATGCTCACACATGTGTACATGTACACTGCTTCTAGAACACTCGAGATGGGGAAATCCCCTCCCATGGCATTGATCAACATGTGGAGCTGCTGCACAAATCTGTCGCAGGAGCATAGACCGCATGGGACACGGAGGGGGGGGGGGGGGGGGGGGGGGGGAGCACGTGCACCCTGCTAAAACGTTTGACATAGGTTCAGCTTGCTCATTATGACCATTAATGACATGCACCAGCCATCCTACACATACGCAGTCGTGCACCTCCCCCCCCCCCTCCCCTTAAAGGGGAACCAGCAACTCCCCTGTGTACCAGTCACATGACCATGACCAGGATAGCCTTGAAGAATGATTTACAGTCACTGGCGTCATCGGCAACACACTGCCACTGCGAGTCTCGGTGTTCCCAGCGTGCCTTGCCAGAGTTCTTACCTTTGTCAGTCTCATGTCTTGCGTGCTACAGCTGTCCATGAACGCCTGGAGACAGGCAAACACAAACGGACATAAACATAAACATAACATATAGAGACGGGGGAGTGTGTGTGTGTGTGTGTGTGTGTGTGTGTGTGTGTGTGTGTGTGTGTGTGTGTGTGTGTGTGTGTGTGTATGTGTGTGTGTGTGTGTGTGTGTGTGTGTATGTGTGTGTGTGCGTGCGTGCGTGCGTGCGTGCGTGCGTGCGTGCGTGCGTGCGTGCGTGCGTGCGTGTGTGTGGGGGGGGGGGGGGGCACAAGCAGCATGTCTACTCTACAGGACCATAGCTACAAGTATGCTGGCAGGCGCTTACATGCACATGCCGTCCGCGCCTCTTTTAGAACACGTGCTCTGTGTGCGCTGGGTTCGCGCGGGTGGTGTGCGGACCGCGCGCGGACTGAGCAGGTTGCGACCCAGTACGCATGCGTGCAAGGTACGCATTCTTGCTGTTCCGTTCTTGGCTTCTTCCTGCGACTCTCCTTGGAGTAAGACTAAAGCAATCAGTCCTCTGAGTGTGGTGTACGTGGGATGTACATGTGATTGAGGGAGTAATCGGAAGGGCCTCTCGTCCGGGAACTAAGATAGTAAGAGCCCCCCGACGACACACAATCTCACACACACATCCCCCACCCCCAACCCATATTACACAACCATCTGTTAGACAAGAGAGTAGACAAGAGTGAGAAGGAGTGACAGAACTAGAGAACCACTGGAGCATGCGCTCTTCTGTACTTGATGGGATCTCATTGCTATGGTGAAGGAGCGGGAAATACGAATACTAAGTATTGTACTGTCTTGGTATAAATACACCTCAGGGGCGTCGGAAGGTATTTTAGTGTGGTACGGTCAGCCATCTGAAGTACAATTTACTCGTGGGGGAGGGGTGGCTGAGCCGAAAATGTTGGGAAATTAGAGCCCAAATCAGTGCATTATATTGATTCAAAGAGTACTTGGGGAAAATAGTGGTACGGTCAATACCGTAGTGACCGTACCGTGTGCGACGCCCCCTGCACCTATTACACATCGAACCAACCTGAGCAACGACCGAGAGGCAGTTGTCGACCGTTGCAGTTTTGTTGATATCCAGCACAAATTCTGGATTCTTGATCACGTTGATCCAGAAGCGCAGCGGGATACTGCCAGCACAGCACAATACATGACAGACAACGAAGAAGTGATTAGATATTTTGCAACTGATGCCATGGTGGTGAGCTAGAGAACACGTCACAGCGTTGCAATGCCTGTTAGTGCGGTGCAGCCCCTAGACCTGCCAACACTGGGGTGGGAACTGGGTGCAGGGCGCAAACTTGACTCGCACGATCGGATTTCATGTAGTTAGGAAGCATATTCAAAGGATTCCCCATACGGGCCACAGCCAGCTAAAACATGTCTTATAGGGTGAAACAAATGTATTCCAAAAAAATGTCACTTTGCTCGCCAGCTGCTTGGACTGGACCGCCAAATATGTGTGAGACCGAAGTTCGACAAGATGCTCACGCCGCCGGTTGATGAATGAAGCACAGCATGAACGTACTCGACAGAAATAATTCTTCATTCCGTCATGTCCCAATAAATTTACGAACCCCCAAAGACATGTCTTAGCTGACTGCGGCCCAATTATTACGCTAGTGTTGGCACGGCAGCCGACAGTATCTCCACTTTACCTGTTATTTTTCCACGTCTGGATAGCATCCGGGTCACTGATGCCCATGTCGATAGCCTGATGGTCGATGAAATCAAACAGGTACTTGATTGCAGCTGGTACTCGGCCATCGTCGGAGCAGAACACCACCCTGAACAGGCCATCCACGTACGTCTGCAGTGTTTTCTACGCAGCACAGGAAACAACACAACCCGAGAGAGAGAGAGAGAGAGAGAGAGAGAGAGAGAGAGAGAGAGAGAGAGAGATAGAGACAGAGAGAGAGAGAGAGAGAGAGAGAGAGAGACAGAGAGAGAGAGAGAGACAGACAGACAGACAGACAGAGACAGACAGACAGACAGACAGACAGACAGACAGACAGACAGACAGACAGACAGACAGACAGACAGACAGACAGACAGACAGACAGAGAGAGAGAGAGAGAGAGACAAACAAAGAGAGAGACAGAGAGACAGCCAGAGATAGGAGTGCAGGAAAACCAGGGTCAGATGACAACAACTTGCAGCCTGATTTCAGCGACCACTTGGTCGGTGTGTGCACTCGCGGGTGAGTGCGTCAATTCTTACATCGTACCAAGTGTCCTGCTGGAGGGATGTCCCGGGATAACTCTGCTTTCAACGACTGCCTGCAGTCAATTGCTGTCTTCACCCCCGTGGCGCAATGGATTAGCGCATTGGACTTCTAATCGGGCTAGCTGCTTGACGGCATTCAAAGGTTGTGGGTTCGAATCCCACCGGGGGTGATCATTTTTTTTTTTTAATTTCACCGCACAGCAAACTTGTACAATTTTTCTTCAAATACTTCACCGCAGGCAGGTAGTTAGCAGGAGTGATTTGGCAAGGAGTTTTTTTTGGTAAACTGGTGGGACAATCTGCTATTTTTCTAGGTTTTTTCCCTCCAACCAAAGAATGGTCCTGTGGAGTATGTGAGAAAGGTGGTCTATGGGTGACCACTCAAACTAGCAGAGGTTTGCCACATTAGAAATAAGCTGAATCCACTGTGTTCACAGCTTTCCGCACAGTCTTCTTACATATGTATGTGAATGCCAAATGCCGCTGTCTGATGATCGCTGACATGCGTGCAACTTGAAGTCACAGCTACACAACCTTTCGCCTCCATTGTATGTGTATGTGTATGTGTACATGTACAAGATAGGACACTTCCAGAACTAGCGGACACATCCAAAAAGAGAGGACACTTCCAAAAGCGGATGAGACAACAGGATGTACACTAAGTTCAGACATGTGAGTAATCTAGTGCGTACCTTGGCGGACAGTAGGCGAGTGAGGTAGATTTCGCTGACTAGCTTAGCGCCCACTGCTGCACGACCACCATTTGCTGCCTGGTTGTCGTTAGATTCTTGCGGCTTGGTCTATGTTCAAGGCAGAAACAAACAACCGATCGAGGCAACAATAATAATAATAATAACTTTGGACAATAATTGCCAGCGGTACCATTCGGTTGTGTTGGCGTGTGTAATGGCTACTGAGGGTATCCATGTGTTGGCTAAGAGCGCATGGAGGAGAGGAGGAGAGATTGAGGTAACGGGAAGGTAACACAAGAAGAGGAAGGGGTACTGATAGAGGCTTGGGCTTATACGTTTGGTCTTCTGTCCCTACCACCGCATGCCTAAGGCCGCGGTCACACCAAGCGCGATTCAGCCATTCAGCGGAAAAAGCGCTTTTTGACGTCATCGTCGCTACGGAAACGGCTGAATTTTCGGCTTCAGCCTTTTTCAGCAGTCAGCCGTTTTCAAAGCGCTGAATGGGAGCGCTGAATGGATTCAGCCACTTTCAGCCATTCTGGCGCAGTGGCGGGAAAAATATACTCGTTCAAAGCGCATCTTGGCATGATCTTGCAGCTTGCATCGTGTTCTGCCACCTTCCGGCTTTCGTTGTTGGTGAAACTTTTCTCCTTGCCTTTTTGTCGGTCATCATGGAATCCTGGACAGAAGCACTGGAGCGGCGACTACTGGAGCTTTGGTTTGAAGCAAAAACCAAGTATGAGACCACTATGAAAAAATACCAGTAAGAGAGCGCGGATCTTGGACGAACTGAAGAAGTGTGCTGGAGAAGGCGGACGGGAAAACAAGAGAAAATCATATTCAAAAATGAGCGGGAAGAAAAAAAACTCTAGCACACAAAAAAATCCAGCCGATTTCGCGAAGTGGTGTGACCAACCGCCCCATTCAGCACAAGCCACGTTCAGCGCAAGCGGGAAACGGCTTGTTTGGTGTGACCGCGGCCTAACAGCATTTGATAACTGCTTAGAAAGAACAATCCAGGATCGTAGATCGATATAGTTTAGCAGATTCTCACCAAGTGCCAGATTTTTCCTGCGTCCTCGCTGGCCATGCGCTGCATCTGTGAGTGGCGTGGGAACAGTACTGATAGCTGGTCCCTTGCTGCACGGTCGCACAGACACAGTCGCACAGAGGCACAGCCACGCACACACACACACACGCACACGCGTGCGCGCGCATGCATGCAAGCACGCACACACGCACACACGCATGCACGCACACACACATGCACACACACATATGCACACACACACACACACACACACACACACACACATACACACACACACACGCACATGCACAAAGCGTCCATGAGCATCTATACACACACACCCAATATCACACCCTGTCACATCAAGTAGAAAGCGATGAACAGTTCGTTGCAAGTCTGAGTTTCATGCACATCATCAGGCAACTGTTGCCTGATGATGTGCGTGAAACTCAGACTTGCAACGAATTGTTCATCCTTTTCTGCTTCTTGTAAGTAGCTCTGCCCTTGGGCACTGAGCACTCTATCGGACAGCCCGCAACTTTTCTGTTCCACACCATGTCACAGGTAGATACAGATAGATATAGAAACACTCCAAAGTGCTATGATCCATTCACTAACACAAACCCACTCCAGTGTGACATCATACGTCAGATGTGGAACACACTCATGCAAATCAGCCCAGGCAGAGCTGTAGGAAAGCGGGGAAATCCCCTGCACGTATCAAGTATGCTATCCCCCCCCCCCCCCCCCGGCAGGACAAGGTCAATAATTATTGTCGCCAGGTCGTGACATGCCTCCAACATCAGCAGGCTACTGACATGTCCGCATGTGTGGCAACACAGTGGATGGATTTCTAACTCCGATACTCGCTGAATGTCTCAGTAGCCTGTCAGTTTTGTGCCCTACTATCACACTTTCTGACTGTTTATCATCTTGTTACAGTCGTGGATAGTTGCTGCCCAACTATATCTCATGTGTTTTCTCTTCTTTTCCACAGTGAATGGATTCATAATCGATTCGTGGGCAAAATGGAACGCACTCCCTATTGTGCTCCTGCAGACGCTGGACAGAATGAAAGAAAGCCTGCACAGACACAACTTACCTCGACCGAGAGTGGCCTCGCCGCGACGCGTGACGCAAAATGTACTGCCCTGCTTCACCTAAACACAGAGACAGTGCACGCCCACGATCCGTTCATGAGGGTAAAACAGGGAGATACTTGGCAGAATGACTGTTCCACGTGTTAAACCAAAAAGCAGGCGCATCCTAATGCGTTCATCTGTAAAAAAAATGTTGAACTCCAAGAAAGCGACTATCTAGTCATAGCATTCGTCATCGAAAAATGCAACAGAGAATCAGATACTTAACATGGATGTCTTAAATACGTGCTGTTTGTATTTCGTATTTTCGGATTCTCCACAGGCTTTAGCCTAAATCGAGGGAGTCTCCAAGTGTGTGTAAGGCAGAGAGGCTTACCTGATAGAATCCAAGAGTGTTGATTTGCTGCTGGTCCCCATGAACTGCGGACGTCTGGTCCAAGTCCTGCATCGGTATAGTGCTAGTACCTGTTGGACTGACTAGAGCTGCAGTGTGGTAGGAAAAATCACGCATGCACACACATGCATGCACATACACACACACACACGCACATGCATGCATATACACACACGGATGCACATACACACACACACACACACACACACACACATATACACGCACACACATACACGCACATGCAAGCGCACCCACACATACACAGACACAGACATTACAGCGGTGAAGATATCAACGCATACTGGGATTGCATCATTCAACAGCTTGCATAGCTCAATACCAAAATAATTGGTCCGAAGATTGGTCCTTTTTAAAGGCTTTTTTGTCTTCAGCACCTCTCTATAGAATGATGTTTGGAGCAAGAAATGACTATTTATTAGGGGGGGGGGGGGGGTATTTGGGCATCATCTTCCTGTACGCCACTCTGAAAATAATATCGGATTTTGCGATTTTGCCAATGAATCTCCCAAACTCTCCTAATGTACGTTCCGATATGTCACATCCCGTCAGTGTACTCCACTTACACAAGTCCATCAAGTCGAACGCAGGTCTCCTTGATATAGCCATGGTCTGTGTGGCAGGCGGGGGAACAACAAAGAGAATGGTGCACAACAGGATTAGAGGTGGCAAACAAGCATACAAATACAGTTGTGGACAACCACCTATGCATGCGTGGATTATTGCAGAGAGAATACTACCAAGAGTACATAAACCAGGGTGAGTAGCTCCGGGATATTGTCCCACGGCGAAGCTTTTTCTGTTTAGGTCATTGCAGTAGTTGTTCATTTACTTCCTTGATCCCGGAGACCCCCTAACCGGCTTCTAGCCTTCCGGGAATCTTAAATAGAGATAGATAAGTGTAACATTGAAAAGTGTGGGCACAAGTTATGCAATCGAGTCCACCATCTAGACCATCTGACGAATAAATAAACACAATAAATAGTCACACCTCCTCCTCACCTTGTAGATGGCATCCATGACCTTCGACTTTGCCTGGCTGATGGAATCGCAGGAGAGCAGGTGCACTGTGTGTCGCTGGTTCTGCTGCCGCTGGTGGTGCAGGCTCTCCACGGCGTAGCAGGCCAGCTCCACGCAGTCCACCTTGTCACGCAGGAGGCGCTCCTCGCTGAGGCAGTTGCGTGCCTCGCCGGTTACCGCGTCCACCGGACCTTTCTCGATGTGCGTCTTCATGGCGTGGAAGAGCATGAAGAGTGGTGTGCCCACCTCCGCCTACAGCAGCACCGCCACCAGCAGCAGCACATGGACACGAGCAAAAAAGGTGATTTTATAGCAAAGGATAGAGATGACGGACACATGCACGTACGCATGCACGCACGCATACACACACGCATACACGCACGCACGTACGCACGCACGCACACACACTTGGCAATGTGTGGAAAACCATTCCCAATGTGCTCCCTCGCATACTGTGCATAAGTCTAGTAACGTCTCTCCCCACCACTCAAGCATTCACAACTTAGCAATGTCGAACGCACGCCACGCTACAGACAAATCACCATGCACCACACACCACACATCACACACGACACGCCACACTCCCACACACCACATACAGTCGCCACGCCAAACTGCCCCACTTTCCTGGTGCAGCCAACTGTGCTGTTGCTACTCTACCGTACAAACCCTACATTATCCCTACACATCATCAGGGGGCTCTCCGTATCTCCCTGGAGCAGATGCTATGCAATTGAGATTCAAAAATCCAAAAAAAACAAAAAAACAGAAAAGATACATGCAATGATTGCTGGGAACTATCCACTCACCCTGATGTAGTCATGGAGACAGAACGACAGCCAGTTGGTCAGGAGCTTCTCGGCTACGGACTCCGTTCTGCACACCGACAACAGACAGAGGGGAGGGGTTCAAGCAATGGTCATCCAACAGGCAGTGTCAAGACGACAACATTTATCACTACTACTACATCCTGGGCAGAAATTCTCTCGTGTGCAGTATGCGGAAGGATGGCAGTAGTGATTCAGTCAAAGTGCCAGGTTGCATTAACCCTTTGTGTACGGACTGTACAACTTTCGATCCCCTGGGATCGAAACTTTTCAAAATTTCAATCGATCGTAACTCAGTCATTCCTGGGTTAGGCCACCCTTTGTTAATTCATTGTTTAACGTCCTTTTTTTCGCGAAAAGGTACGCGGGAGGGCGGAAAAAAAACAAAAGCCCATTCCAAAAACTGGAAACCCCAATCAAACATTTTGATCAGTAAAGCATGTGATATATACAATATTTCTGGGTCTAACGGCACTTGCAGGCATAGAACAACACTCTTTGATGGTACATTGGAGCACATGCCTGATGAATCCAACAAAACAGGTACATAGCATGGAGTTAGCATGTCATGAATTCATTACATCTGGATTTTTACTAGGGCACACACCGTACGATATTTAAAAGCCAACAAAAAAAGAAAAAGAATACAAGACAAAGGCATGCCCGGGAGGCAAGATTATAAGTTTAAGGTCATGATCGGCACACTGTGAAACTACAAAATCATGTATTTACAACTTCGCATATTATTGGTACTACTACTTTCTTTTTCTCAGTGACCAGCGCTTTGGCCGAGTGGTTGTGGGCTTGCCTGCGAATCACAAGGTCCCGAGTTCGAGACCCGCGCTGGGAGCAGGGAGCGTATACTGTGCTAGCAAATGCGGTGATGCATGCGTGAATCACTTTACATGCTGTGAACTGCGCCGACACCCACGGTCAACTGGGTACTCACTACTCGGAGTGAGGGTAACATGGATGCAGCTAACGAGGTTAGCCCCCTTGTCGGGCATTGGTTGTGAGACTTACCACCTCACCCTCGCCGTTAGGCGCTGCATCTGCCACCCTGGTAGCACAGGCATGGTGGTGGCCTGGCACATGCGAAACTTCCTAAGCTGGTTGTGTTTCTCAACGCAATTGTATAGCCGGTGGTAACGCGGACGTGCAAACTTTTTTTTTTACTACTTTCTTGTTTTTTTTTTCGGTCGGAGGCAAAAAGGTACGCGGGCGCGGACGTTAAACAACGAAAAAAGAAAGGGTGGCCTTATATCCGAAAACTAAAATATGCAGGTCAAAGAGAAAACTCCCAGCTGTCCATTGAAACAATCGCTGAAGCGCTCCGATGTGTGGTTCAAGATTTACGAAGCTCGAAAGTCGAATCGCGGCAAATGTCGCTCAATAGCCGCTCGCACAAATTTGAATGAGGGATTTCCCCATCATTCTGGGCATGCAGTGACGTAGAAACACGTTCAAAATGGTAAACGGACTCATGGCAGTTTGTGATTTTTTGAAGTAACAGTTAGTTGTTACGAGCAAGGAGAGCGAAATGGCTGATGCAAGACGACTTCTGTCGGAATATTGGCGTTGCAGCTAAGACGCTGGGCTGTAGCGCTGGCGTTTTGACCTTCATGGTGGCAAGCGTGGGCTCAATGTGTTACTCTTGCGACGAGCTTTCCAGGAAGCCCAAGATTGAAAAAATCGTCAAAAGGAGAGTAAAGTTATGACCCGGATAATTATAGAATTTGAGGTGAGTCGAGATCAAATTCAGTCTGTGTACAATTTTTCAGTACTTCCTCCGTTAACAAAAACTTCGTGATGGAATTTTGAGGGGCTGATTTGGGCACAAACTGCCGTGAAATGAGTCACAATCACTTTCTTGGCCTTCCCTGGCATGCCATGACAGAGGTACGATGCAAGGAAAGCGACCTTTCACAACAAGCCGAGCGGAATCGATGGCTGCGCTGTGGAAACATAGGTGATGACAGTCATGGCGAGCGAAACTGAAATGCCACTTCTCCGAGGGGATATTGCGATTCTTGGCCTCTCTACTACTTTGGCACTGAGTACGTTGGAGAGTGATAGAGAGCGATAAAACGGAGCAGCGAGCCCACACAATGAGCGAGTGAACAAGGAGCTGCTCCGATCGCACGGCTCAATGAAAACAATTCTGAACTGAAGTAACACGTTAGTTCTTGTTCAACCTGCGCAAAGCCCAGATTCGAATGCTGATGCCCATGCATTCTTTCAGAAGTCTGCAGTCAGATGCGCGTCTCGTGGCTAAAGAAAGTCGACTGGACTTGCTAGCCGCTGCCGTTCAGTGCTGGTATCCATTAGAGAAATTGGAATCAGTTTAGCTGTGCCTTTACTCCTCGTTTCACTGAGTTCTGGAGAGCGAAGATGAAACCAGGGAGTTGTAAAATATTTTTCACGACTCCCTGGTGGAAACGAGTAATCGCCATCGCGGCGGATCACGCAGCTTGAAAGCAAACTTACTTGAACGGCGGCGACATCAAGCGGAGTGTGATCAAAGCAGCCGAGGCAAGGCTGAAACGAGCTGCACAACGACTCGAGAGAGATGACGACTCGCGTACTGCAGATGACGACTCGCGTGCAGCAGATGACGACAGCGACGCAGGTCAAAAATGAATCGAGCGAAAGCAACGCAAACTAAACTCTCTGCTCATTCTGCCAACAGTTTCTCTTGTAAAAGCGCTGTGCATAGGCTGAATCACCGTCGTCCAGTAATTTGCAGGCGATACAAACTGTTCTTGACCTGTTCTAAGCGTTTTCATATCCATTAAAATCCATCACGAAGTTTTTGTTAACGGAGGAAGTACATAAAGGGTTAATATAATTATGTATGTACACACACTTGAGAGGGACGAAAAGCGTTTCTTCTGTAACTCTGAGTTTCACGGTTTTAACCGATCATCAGACAGCAATAATAATATTATGTATGTATATTTATATTTTGAATTTGCACGTACACACGTGCTGCAAGCCCATCGACTGATACACGGAAGCGCCAGAGAGCATGAATCCCACATCTTGGCCGCAGCCAGCATCAGTCAATCATGACAGATGTACACTGAACTGTTGCACTGTAATTTAGCTTATGCACTGCAGGCACGTAGCCCGCATTAGGCACTGGGGGCACGTGCACGCCCCCCCCCCCCCCCCCTAAAAATTTCGACCTAGGTTCATCATGCACATAATGACCATGAGTGACATGCACCAGCCATCCGTCACATATGCGGCCGTGCACCCCCTCCCCCCCCCCCCCCCTAAAAGGGGGACCAGCTACGCCCTTGCACTGACCGAATCCGCTGGATACAGACGTCTGTCTCCATGACAACCCACAAAACATGCACAGATACACACATCCTGGCAAGTACCTTCTCAAGAGCAGCTTAGGGTTCTTCCCAGAGCCATTGCGTATCAACGAGGTCAGGAGAACCTTCAAGATTCTGAAGAAAACATGCGGAAAGGGTTGTACAAAGGATTGGCAAATAGCAACGAGCAAGCAAGCAGCTTTCCCCGCCGTGTACGGACTTACAGCGTTGAACAAGAGAACATTGTTTGAATACGAAGTGCTAAGAAACACTCCAGCAGCCTCATCATTCTGCAGTAAATGTCGTACCAGCTGAAATGTTCAAAGCTCATTTTTAGATGGACCACGGCACACACACTTTTTCTAAGGATTCCCAAAGTCCATTGCAGCCACTTACATGTTACTTTTTTGAATCCAAACACTCGCACATGGCCTCTCTGCTGCAAATGCCACTTCAGGTTTACAAGGTGAATCTGAAGTGGCGTTTGCAGCAGAGAGACAGCGTATGAATTTCCGTATTGAGAAAAAGTGATTATGATAGAGATCAGTGAAGAGGGCGAATTGTGCTGTTAACAGTTCGTCTTCTTCATCGCTATTATAACATGTTGTCTCTCCAAAGTCACATCGCATCATTTCGTTTTTCATCAGTGGAACACTGGTGCAAATGCACACAACAGCATCCAATATCCAAAGGTCAACATCACCATGCCTTGACGCACGGTAGACCTTTCGTAGACCAGCACCTGCCAGCACAAACCGATACCGTGTTCAATTGGATGTAGCATCTCCAGACGGGTACAGACTTACTCAGTTGCATAGAAAAGGTTGTCTTGGAAGGCCACCATCATCAGAGAAGCAACAAACACCCTGTCCGGGACAAGGAACAACAGACCGAAAAAAAGAACAAAGTAAATCAACCAGAATCGGTAGCAAACATTACCAGCAGAAGAAGGCTACCTATTCAGATAAGCAGATATCTCATGGCTCTTAGGTTAGCAGAAACAGTCAGGCATCACGGTATGTATTCAGTGCTGAATCCCACACCACTTCTTGCAAGCACCGTATTTTCCAGGGTGTTAGCCGCACTTTAAAACGCATAAAAAAACTCGAAAATCGCCCCTGTGGCTTAGACTCTGAATGCTGGATATGAATCGAGCAACGCTACAGCACCCCATGCATTTTGTCACATGACATGATCACTTCCTACACCAATCTAGTCACATCACAAAGATGTGAACACCACTCTGTAGCAGGCAATGGCCGAGAGACCCAATATCCTCACCTGTCAACCATGACAAACTTCTTCTGGGACTCCAGTGTCTCGATGAACGGAATCAGAAACTTCTTATCCAAGAGGAGACGCTGTTCGAATCGCTTCATGGAATCGCGCAGGTTAGCCAGCTCGCCATCAGGCAGCTGTGAATGTCACAAACAAAGCACACGAGGTTTACTTGCCTGGAACAAAACTGGGTATAATGAGAAAAAGGCACACACCCCGACTAATCATTCTCACAGTGAATATTTTTTACTTGTACAGTGATCCAGTGCACACACACACATGTATACAAGAAACTAGTAGTATTTCGCTCCTGCTCTTGTAGCAGTTGAGCACTCTTGTGTGGGGTAGTGCCTTTGCTGTTTGCGTTGTGCAGAGCTCACCGACTTGTCAGTTTGAGCATTCTGGCAAGGTACGTTCGGGCCTGGTTTAAATCTGGCTTTGGAAAAATTATGTTTCATTGCTATCAGGTTAGGCCTCATTTCCTCTGTGCTGCGCTGATCAGTCCACAAAGGACGAAACAGTTCTGTCTGCAGATTGAGTACTATAAACTAGTATGAAGCTCACTAAGTTTTTTAATGTTACAAGAAAACATGGAAAACGATCGGGCACAGGTTATGCGTTAGAGTCCACCAACTAAACCAGATTTTGAACAGTCATAGCGTGCACAAGGTAGCACCAGACTGACAGGGAGTACTGAGACATTCAACTGTTTTTTTTTACACCAGATAGAAAGTACGTTTTACTCACGTTCACTCTCTGCTCCAGCGGCACCAGGCGACTGTGTGGAAACAGCAGCTTGTTAGCGTACTCGTCGAAGGACCAGAATGGCAGCGCCTCAAACGACGTCTCCTGCGTGATACCCAGGTCGTCCAGATTCGTTTGGAGATCGGCAAAGGCTATAATGCAGAAAACAACACGCAACGTTTAGCAATGCTGTTCTCATGTTGGGACAGTATTCACGGCTTTGAGATTGACACTTGCTGGACAGACAGTTTTTTATTTTTTATTTTATTTTTTATTTAAGTTCACGTTCCAAAACTCGTAACCAATAAAAAAATGGACGAGGTGAGCGAAAGACAAGCCCCGGTCCAATGAGAGATCCACACTACAACTTGGGCATGGCGTTGTGGTGACTAACTCCAGGTTTTATCCAAATATAGACGACATGTGCATTGCTACACGACTACGACATATGCAGAAGGCAAGACTTGATTTGCGCATACCGCAATCATCATGGGGTGTGCATTCCAAACGTCTTTCGTACGTGGAAAAGTGGTCTGATCTGTCTCCTGAATACGGATTTCACTTTCGAGTCATCTGATGAACACGATGTAATGGAAATCCATCCCCAGAGCGGTTTCACATCTATAACATGACCATACAGGGCAGCCATGTTAGTTCCAACTCCATTCAACCACTGCATCTATGGGTCACATTATGTCGGCCATGTTGGTTCCACTGTCCACATGCCGTGATCACTTTTTCTACACAACACAACAAAAGATGATGCCACATGCGCCTTATATGGAAGCTAGCCGAGTGGCAAAATGCTCATATATGGGTTAAGTGCGTACAGAAACCCCATACGTGGAAGAACTTTGAGTGGCAAACCTACTACGTTACGTGCTCTGTATGTAGTCACATAACAAATATGGGATACCACTCCTATCTCTCTTTGCCTCGCCCTGTGTAGACTATTGCCTCTTGGGATTGGTCATTTTGCATTGTTTTCACCTACTTCCGTGGCTGGCTATCGTCGCCCCCCCCCCCCCCTTTTTGTCCTATATAATACTCCCTGGCCACGGAAAGGTGAAATACAGTCAGACCTCGCTTATCCGGTCCTCTTTTAGCCGGATCCCTCGCCGTCCGGAAGAAAATAGCTGGTTACAGATTTACAGCATATGTCATGCATCCAGCATAGCCGGTGTTCGGTTATCCAGTTCCCTCGCCTATCCGGATATTTTTGTGGACAACGGATGTGTGCGGTTAAGCGAGGTCTGACTGTAAATAATATAAAACAATAAAATAGTCACATGATCTCGCCATGCCGACTCACCCGACTTGCACTCGCTTGCTACGTTTGCCTCTATGGCGTCCATCTGGTAAAGCAGGCTCTTCATCTGCGACGTGTGAGCGGTCTCGCGGCGACGGAAGCGCAGGAACACGACCAGCAGCACGATGAGCAGGACGGCCACCACCGCGCCAATCGGACCCGCGATCAACGCCGCGTTTATGCTGGTGTCACTCAGCGGCTGGTACGTTGCACCTCCGGCAGCGGCGACAAAATTACCCGCACGCACCTGCCAATGATAACACAGCACAGGTTCAGCAGTAAGGCCATTGTGAGAAGAAAGATTAGAAACACATACAGATTGGTTGGTTGGTTTAAAAAAATGTTTTACTTCGCAAAATCAAACGGGAGGACGACCCAACAAAATGATGGCAAAGGATTGGGCCAAGAAGCAGCTATGGAAGCAAATACAAATAATATAATAGGTATTTAAATAACCGACGAGGAGACAACAGTCGTAAAATAGCAATAAAAAATATCAATTGTTTTAGTGATTCTTACTATGTGACGATGTTCCACTGATGATGGTCACACGAAAACGTTCTGGAATTGTTTCATTTTAATTGTTTATACATGGTTATGAGTGCACAATTGATATTTTTTATTGCTATAATATAATAGGTAATCAACAAATTGAGAATAAGGGGGGGGGGGGGATTTGATTACGATATGCCGGTATTGCTACATGATTATTGATGAACTGTACAGGTTGATTCGGGACGATAAAAGCTTTGCAAACACTGTTCCCCATTGCATTTTTCGTTCGAAAAATGCAATGGGTGGCCCCGGGCGGCCCCATAGGTCGAGAACTCCCCCTTTTTTTTTTAATTACGTATTTCTTTCTTTCTTTCTTTACATGTGAGCGTGACGCTATGCCAAAGGCAAAGTCTGTCAGCACATCCGCTCCTTACCACAATGGGCAGAGAGCCGTTGATGGCTTGTCCGTTGGGCTGGCTGGTGGGCGGTTGGCACACCAGACGCTACAGGCACAATCACACACAGTGTTGGAAAGACAGCGAAAAGAACAAGCATTTTTTTTGAAGACATACATGCACCATGGTTCCCGGAGATTTATTGTCACAAATACGGCCATCTATCCAGTTGATCACTGTTTATCTGACCATCTTAGTATAAGCTGGATCGACCTTTCTGGGGTGAACTACTCGTGTTTTAAAGTGCTACCTATACTCCAGGAGACTCCCTTTGATAGGCATCCATTTGCCTCTGGAGAATCCTTGAAAAATATAATATCAATACTCCGGAAACTACGGTAATAAGCCAGCAGTTCTGTGCGGTGCTACGTGGGATGATTGGTTACGGGCAGATTATTCGCCTGTACAGGTCAACCTTCCGTTAGAGACCACCTGGTTTCAGCAACCACCTGATGAAAAGAGCACCTGGCATCAGCATGTACTATCTGACAGACTCAACCGCACGGATCAGGCCGGCTCAAGGAACTGCCTGGCATCAACAGGTGAGGTGGTCCATTTGCCAGGTGCAATGTTGATTTTTTGCTTTTTTTGTATTGCAAAATAATAAAATACAATACAAAAATTTCAAAAAATCAACATTGCACCCGGCGATGGATCACCTGGTTTCAGCAACCACCTCACCTGATGGGTACGACCATTTTTCAAACAAGTCTGCACTAATCGTGTGAATTGTGCAGCAATGGTAACCCAGTTTCAGAGACCACCTGTGTATAAAGACCACCTGGTTTCAGAGACCACCTGTGTTTAAAGACCATCCCTTGATAGTCCGGTCAGATGTTTTTCTTTCTTTCTTTTTTCTACAAAATCCACATATCTCCAGACACTGGGGTGAATAATGGAGTGTGGTGGTGGGGCACACTAAGCTCAGCCGACCAGAGGTCTCGGCTTCATGGGTAATCTGTGAGTTACAGAGTTCTACGTGGACATAATGTTAGTAACGCTGCCCTGGCGAGACTGTGGCTGCTTACCAGCTAGAATATCTCCACTACCATAAATTATATCGAGCAGCACGGCTGGCTGCCGGCACTTACGTTCGCTTCAATTGTTATTTTGTCGCAAACGCCGTCATCGCCAATCACAACACTGTATTCGCTTGCCATGAGGTCCCCGATTGTGATGTCTGTACCCTGCAGAGCAAGAAAAAAGGAGGAAGGGGTTGGGGAGAGCAGAAGATTATGTTCTGACAAAAGACCCAATGCTGCAGACAACCACCGTATTTCCCAGATTAAAAGTCGCACTCGATTGGAAGTCGCACACCCATTTTCAGGTTTGAGCCATAATGTGTTGATATAATTATTCACCTCAGTGGTAAGTCCTGCTCAATTGCAAGTCGCATCCCTTTTTACCCTTGGATTTTAGTGTGAAAGGGTGCGACTCTTTTTTTATTCCAGGCAATACGGTAGCTGTTTCGGCCATCTAGTACTCATCAATATAACTAAGAGCTTTAAGTAAGCCGAACTACCGGCCATGGTGCAAAAGGTGGCACCACAGACATTTTAAGATATTCTGACAACAGCCAGATGTATTCACTGTTTAGGTGTGTGGTTGCCAGTGAGTGTGTGAGTGCGTGTGTGTGTGTGTGTGTGTGTGTGTGTGTGTGTGTGTGTGTGAGTGCGTGTGTGTGAGTGCGTGTGTGTGAGTGCGTGTGTGTGAGTGCGTGTGTGTGTGTGTGTGTGTGTGTGTGTGTGTGTGAGAGTGCGTGTGTGTGTGTGTGTGTGTGTGTGTGTGAGTGGGGGGGGGGGGGGGGGGGGTCGCGGCGCACATGTTTGCTATGTGACTAGATGTGCACAGAAATTCATCACAGCATGTGTGCAGTGGAACCAACATGGCCGACATCATGTGACCCATAGATGCAGGGGGCCCGGGTGGGGGGGACTGGACTAGAGCTGGCCGCAACATGGCTGCTCGGTATGGTCATGTGACGGCTAGGCAATCGCCCTACAGGCACACAGTGAAGGAAACGAATCCGTTGCAGCAGGTGGCCCACCTCTACACACAACGCAACATACAAACGACACAACGCGGGGGGCCCTTTCCCCAAGCACGGCCAACAGCACCAGAGAGTCTCGCAGCAGCGGCAGCTTACGTTGAGAGTGATGGTCTGCTCGACGCCGCTGATGATTATGTGATCTTCCTGTTCGAACAATGGCGAGGTGGTGGCGGTGAGAGCCACCGAAGTGGCAAACACCAGGCCGTCCAGGAACAGTGTCACGCTTGCAACTCCATCAATCGGTATAGGCGGTATAATGCAGCTCAGCTGATTGGCCTGTGGTACGGTACACGTCTGCACATACAACACGGAGACAGAAAGGACAATGACGAAAGTATATGTACAGTCAACTTTGCCTATAACGACATTCGGCCGGGCATCAGAAAAGTGTCCTTATTCGCGAAGTGTCCCTATCAGGGTTGCAATGAATACTCGAATATTCGATTGATATTCGTTTAGAACCCGATGGAAGGAATATTTTCCCCTTTAGAATATTCGTTCGTTTTGACACGTGCGCACACTCTGCTCTTGAGTCGATCTATCGTAGTAATTCTTGAACGGATGGAGTGATATGTACATGTGTTATGTGTTGAGAAAGGGGGGACTATGACTCACAGGACTAGTGGACATGACTCCACTAGACATCTACTGTCTAGAACGACCGGGGACTATCCAAACTCTTTCTAGGTTCTTTTGGTATAGAATATTCGATTCGTTTACAAAAAAAATTCGATTTTGTTCCTCTTTAAATATTTGTTTCACCATTAGAAACAATAGCCAAACTCTTTCTAGGTTCTTTTGGTATAGAATATTCGATTCATTTACAAAAAAAATCGATTTTGTTTTTAGTTAAATATTTGTTTCACCCTTAGAAACAATTCAGCATTTTGAGAGAATATTCGTCATTCGTTCGTTATGGGTGAGTATTCGTTCGTTTGTGAAATAGAATTTTCGTTGCAGCCCTAGGATTCCCTATACCCGAAGTCTCATTATTGTGTATACAGTTAGATGGGACTTTGCTCTGGGCATGGGAATTTGTCGTTATTCGCGAACTGTCGTTATATTCGCAGTCGTTATTAGCAAAGTTGACTGCAGTAGTAGCAGGAAAGCTGGCAGCAGAAACACCAGCAACATCATACACTCATCAACAGTAAAAAAAAACTTCAGGCTCTCCAACGACATGGTTTCCACAAGTAAACCTGCCTGAGGTTTGTGCTACTTATTACACGCATTCCCATGTGTATGCAGCAGCAGCAGCAGCAGCAGCAGCAGCAGCAGCAGCAGCAGCAGCAGCAGCAGCAGCAGCAGCAGCAGCAGCAGCAGCAGCAGCAGCAGCAACAGCAGCAGCAGCAGCACGTACTATGTTCAAGCTAATAGTGGCATTGTTTTCCAAGAAAGTGAACTGAGCCTGTCGCGACCCCACACCCTCCAGATTGCTGCCGGAGAATATCAGCGGAATACCACCACTGCACAGAAAACACATACACCCACCCACACGCATGCACACACACACACACACACACACACACACACACACACACACACACACACACACACACACACGCACGCACGCACGCACACACGCACGCACACACACACGCACGTACACACGCACGTACACACGTACACACACATACACACACATACACACACACGCACACACCCCCACAGCGGAAAAGCAAACAAACAACAGACGTAATGGACTGATTAGTCAACAACCATGATGACAACGACAATAATGATGTATTTTGAGTGACGTCATGCACTCATACGCATGACATCACACACGTCAAAGTATGACATAAGTATGACATAATGCACTCATAAGTATGATATAGTGTACCCATAAGTATGACATCATGCACATATAAGTATGATATAATGTGCCCATAAGTATGACATAATGTACCCATAACTGGCCATAAGTATGACATCATGCACCTATAAGCATGATGTAATGTGCCCATAAGTATGACAGCATGTACCCATAAGTATGACAGCAGTCACAGCACCCAAGTATCAGCATGACATCTTCGATTGGCAAATCTGGATTGAGTGCGAGCAGGCGGTGTGGTCCGAGCAACCCTGGCCCAATCGAACAAAACAAGGATGTAGTATGCAAAATGTACGCATATCGTACAAAAATTCAGTGAAAGCTGTCAAAAAACGCCAAAGTCCATTTCCACTCCAGCCACTCCCGGTGTGGGGGGCCGGTGTGGTCGGATTCCACTCCAAGTACACCTACTCCGGAATCGATCGGATTCGACCAAACAATCACGTTCACTCGGAGCCCACTTGCTCGGGATCCGCCCAATCGATCATACCCTTAGACACTCAGAATTGAAGTGAAAGAGTTCAATACTAAGGCTGTACTCACACTACTTGAAAAACCGCATACAAGTGACTTACGTGTGAATGTTACCACGGTGACGGTTGCGAAGATGAAAAAAGCCCTTGAAAGCCGCTTGAGAGGTTTCAGCGGAAACGGAACCCTCTTCTATGAGTTTTTTTGCTTTCAAGCCGTTTGGAAAGCTGTGCGAGGTCAGGAGGCCGGAGTACTATTGTACGGTGAAAGGCTCCAGAATATTTTTCATGCTTTGTTTCCTCGTGGTCGTACTGCTCTTGTACATATACTTGAAGTTTCCTTTTTTGCCTGTCATTTCTGAATTCTGTGTTGTTTTTTTCTGGGTGTTTTTCGTCTTCTTTCTTCCAGTAGCTTCCCGTTGTTTTGATTGCCGTTTCTGTCGCATTTCTTTTGTACCATTGCTTTTGTACCGACATCATGCCTCGCGTAGTGTTTTCTGACGACTTGGAGAAGAAGCTCATTGAGCTGTGGAGAGAAACTTCTTCATCCGTCGACGTCGACGATGTGCTACTTCTTCGCGAGGCATGGCGAACGAACTCCATGATCCAAGCAAGATATAACTGTTTCTATTTTCTCATGAACTGAAAATTGCAAATAAGTTGATCGAGCGCAAAAAAATTGAAGGAACGTGCCTCGGGATTTGCACAACTACCACATGACATCATGTTTCTCCATGGTAATTTGCTGACAATAATCACACGGTTTCAAGTCGTCACTGGAGTGCAGTGTGCTTGGAATGGCTTTTTCAAGTACTTTTGTCTAGTTTTGAACGCGACATTCGCGTCAAACTTTCAAGTAGTGTGAGTACAGCCTAACCTTAGACACACTGGCTATAACACACTATAGCTTTCCAGGAAGCTGCCCAAGACTATCAAAATTGATAAAGGCAAACGCAAGCTATGATCCAAACAGCTTGCATACGCAGTGCCTGTAGCAATTTGCCTGAATCAAGTCAGTCCTGTAAGTAGTACGGGCTGTCTAGCACCTAGGAATATGGAATATAACTGAGTAGGATTTGTGATGGCCCTGCAATATACCATACCAGTCATTTAGCCTTGGATATGTAATACCTTGCTTATACACAGCAGGTACGTCACAGGGTAGGGGGGGGGGGGGTCCAGGTTGTCCCCCCCCCCCTGCGGAAAAATTGGATGTTTCGGCGCCAACAGGACACGTTTTAGCGCTCTACGAGCCAGCTACGCCGTCCTGGACGAAAATTGCTACGACCATGGTCATACTGGTCATAGCATGTGTGACGCCCCTGCTTGTTCACAATGTACAGCCTCTGCAGGGTGCATTAGACTTCAGAGTCACGGTAAGTGTGTGTGTGTGTGTGTGTGTGTGTGTGTGTGTGTGTGTGTGTGTGTGTGTGTGTGTGTGTGTGTGTGTGTGTGTGTGTGTGTGTGTGTGTGTGTGTGTGTGTGTGTGTGTGTGTGTGTGTGTGTGTGTGTGTGTGTGTGTGTGTGTGTGTGTGTGTGTGTGTGTGTGTGTGTGTGTGTGTGTGTGTGTGTGTGTGTGTGTGTGTGTGTGTGTGTGTGTGTGTGTGTGTGTGTGTGTGTGTGTGTGTGTGTGTGTGTGTGTGTGTGTGTGTGTGTGTGTGTGTGTGTGTGTGTGTGTGTGTGTGTGTGTGTGTGTGTGTGTGTGTGTGTGTGTGTGTGTGTGTGTGTGTGTGTGTGTGTGTGTGTGCGTGCGTGCATGTGTGTGTCATCCTCGCACACTTTCTCACTCGACACAGGCCCGTACAACCAGTAAAGTCCTTACACTGCGATGGTGTTCGTACGCGACGGCTCCGTGACAGTGGGATCCGGCACGTATTGGAACTGCTGCGTGAACGAGTAGCCGTCGATAGTGAGTACAAAATTGTTCATGCCCATCGTGCCGTTAGTAGTTCTGCACGTGATCACGTTCTCGTTTCTAAACGCACACACAGTGCAGTGGTAGTGAGCATGCACACACACACACACATGCACGCATGCATGCAAGCATGCACACGCACGCATGCACGCACGCACACACACACACACACACACACATACACACACACACACACACACATGCACGCACGCACACACACACATACACAAGCATGCACGCACGCACACACACACACGCGCGCACACACACACACACACACACACACACACACACACACACACACACAACACTATGATTGTCTACTGCACTACATTGCAATGTACTACATTACAAGCGACACAATCAAAAGTCTACAGATGCATTGTCTGTCTCTGAACACCCACTGCGTGGTTTCTCCAACGAAAACAAGAACAACTCAACTCTTCTTCCCATCTCGGGCCCTCCCCTCCCTGTGCACACAACCCTTCACACCCCCCCCCCCCCCCCTTCCGCAAACACACACATAACATGTACTCATTCTCTGACACTCCACCCCCCCCCCCCCCCCCCACCCTCTCCTCTCCCTCAACTCAACCCTTCTCCCCGTCTCCCCCCACCCTCCCCACAAACACATACAGTCCAGTCATCGGAAACTGTCCCGCTGGCTTTTGAAAGTCGGATTTGAGCCGAATTGAGGATCAAAAACCCACTTTAAATCTCAAAAATCTGAGTTTTGGATCTGCTTCTCCATACATTTTGCCATGGCATACCTGTCCTAATTTTGTAAAACCTGGCTGAATTTCTATTTCCCTGTTCTTGGACTTTTCTGGCCTCAAATGTGGCAAGGAGTAATCGCATGGGTCACACAATGCAGGATGTACTGTTGTTTTCACGATATCTACAACTATGTGAGAGAGATACCAACAAGGTAGGGTGCCAGTTTCCAATGAATGGACTGTAGAGCGGAATTATTCAATACAGACGACGTCACATTATAACAAACTCTCATATTAGCGAACCGTTGTCCATGTTCCAGTTTGAACTGACAGTGTAAGTGAGTTTCTGTTATAACGAACTTTGGCTAGAAAAGAACTAATTCTCCTGCACATTGGTGTTGGTTAGATCCCGAGTCGACTGTAGCTAGAGAAGAAACACGAAGGGTAGCAGCAATCATGCTGGTACTTTTTGCTCACCTCACAAAGATTCACCTAGGGTTCCCCGTAATAAGGCCATGCCTGTTGGGACTCCCCTAGTCAAATAATAAATTCATACTACAGTACTACTATTAATTTTATGACTTACACGGAGAGAATGTAACATGGAGATTGCGTCACAAGCACGGTGGTCTTGCCAGCCGGGAACTTCAGGTACTGACCGGTGATGGTGATCTCAGTGCCACCTGATACCGGGCCCATCGCGGGAGTGACGCTAGACACTAGAGTAGGCTAGATAGAGATGCACAGGACAAGAGGACAGTACCAGGGGCGTTGAACGCACCTAAAATACAAATAGATACGTTACTCTGCAGGTACGTAGCCCGCCTGGGGCACGGAGGGGGGGGGGGGGGGGGGGGCACGTGCAATCCCCTAACAAATTCGACCTACCCGGTAGGTTCAGCATGCACATAATGACCATGAATGACATGCACCAGCCATCCGTCACATATGCGGCCGTGCACACCCCCCCCCCCCCCAAAAAAGGGTACCAGCTACGGCCCCTGCCCTAACCGAATCAAAGATATCCTTCAGCTCCACAACCATGCCAGGGCCACTCCTGTGTGTACTGTGCATAGTAGTTATATATAAGTATAGTATTATTATACACATCCACATCATCCATACAACGCTCGGCATCCACAAAGAGATTTCAGAACTCACCCTAAACGTGAAATTGCCACCTGTGCCAGAGGACAGGAGACCACCAACATTCGTCGAGATAGTCACCGGAAAATTTTGCGAGGTAGTTCCGCCCAAGTTTGGCGTGTCACATCGTACCCTGCACACGCACAGGAACGCACGCATGCGCACACACACACACAGACACACGCACACACACACACACACACACACACACACACAATTACGTGGATGACCTCATTGCACACGTTTCGCACTGAGCAGCAAACCAGTGCTCGGTAGCTAACCGTTTCGCGGCACTCCACAGCCAGGAGATGTATCTCCAAATGACGAATCAAGATGTAAAGTTTTTTTATATTAGCACCCTTCACAGTATCACACATACCTGAACGGGTATTGCAAGACCACATCATTTAAAGATAACTTTGCTCACAAGTGCATCCTTACTGTTTGCTCGCGTATTGACACGTCCAAATTCCCGCTGGGCAATAGTGCCCCCCCCCCCCCATAGCTTTGGCATTCGCTATACTAACGCACATCGGTGCTTGCGATACTAGCTTTGGCATTGGACCACAAGACTGCATATCGAATGCGACAATTGCTGCCCATGTCCAGACAACACAACGCATACTATTCTACTACAGTACTATTTATGTAGCTCTGCATCTCGTGGCATGTCAAGACAGCCAATTGAATTGAGGAGAGGGTGGGACCAACCACGGAGCAGCTCTCAAACGTTACTGGGATGTGGAGGAATAGATTCCATTCTCCAAACCTACCCTGAGATGATAGAGAAGTCGCGTATGTTCGTGCAAGACATCTGATTGAAGGTGATGTCTACGATGTCGCTTTGCTGGAAGCCAAAGTTGACGCCTTCGATGAGTATGGCCGTGCCTCCGGCGGTGGGTCCTGTCCTGGGTTTGATCTGTACACAAGACAGAGTGACAGGAGATCATCATCGCAAAAATGTAAGGAGACGCTGTCGGGAGTTTACACCGCCAGTCACCACCACCGGCGAGCAGTCAGGAGCATGTCCACCATCAACAACAACACAGCCCTGCAACGCCACAGCGGCCCACGCACACAGCCACCCACCCACCCACACATACACACACACGCACGCACACACGCAAACACACACACACGCAAACACACACACGCACACATATACACACACATACACACACACATACACACACACACACACACACGCAAACACACACACACACACACACACACACACACACACATGCACACGCGCACACGCGCGCGCGCGCACACACACAGACGCACACACACACATGCAAACATCGTGACACACACACACACATACACCAACCAGCCAGGCTTACATTAGTGATATTGGGAGACGGGCACATCATACTGGCTGGCTCTCCAGTGCAGCTGTCAACCATACAGACCTCCCTGCTTGGACACCACCTACACCGATCATACTGTGGAAAGGCAAGGCAGGGGCTGCAGCCGTTTGCACCAGTGCGAGAACAGTCGTAACTTTCGCCTAAACAAGAAAAAGAGGAAAAAACCCCAGAGACTCTCGTTATCAGGAGATGGCCCGCAACAGCAAAGATAGCCAGTGCAGGCTGTCGTAATAAAACGACTCATCCGTGTTCCATTCCCGTGCATGGTACATGCATGGTGCGACGGCACAATGACAGCTGTCGCAAATCACACTGAGTATTACACGTGGTTTTTGGTGATTCCTGGTTAGCTGCTAGCTTTTCCCTACTCGAAGTTGTTGCCGCCGCGAAATCTGGGGGTTTGTGTTCGTCCTGGCGAAAACCGTGTTTTGATCCGTTGAGGGAGACGAGAGATACAGTGCGAAGACGTACGATCTGTCCAAAAATCGGCGAAGAAGAAAGCTTCGCAGACTACCCGTAGTAGTTGGGAACAGAATGGAACATATACCAGTCGATGCCTGTCATGGTAGGGATGACTGCTACGAAGTTTTAGCCCCATGCTCCCCAGCGCTTTTTAGCGCCCGACGATAATTACCAAATTTCATCGATTTTCCATGTGGATCAAAGCATAGTCTCCTCAATCTTCTCCAGTCGAGCTGAGTCTGGACGCTACAATGTCGAGACGCGAAAAGAGAACATGCATGAACACACAGGAGCATCACATGCAGCTGCATTCTGCCTTGACGAAGCTGAGAACAACACCAGCACCACGCATTTGGAAGACATTTCGAAGAAGACGAAGAACTACATATCCGCGTTCAAAAAAGCCTCTGTACTGTGTGTGTGCATGCAGTATGCATGCATGCATGCGCGAAGCACGCGGTCCGCGGATCAACTTCGTTCAAAAATCATTGTGCCAAACGGGTTGTATGATTTGTGTGCGATCATGGTCTTTCTTCTTGACAAACAAAAGTGAAGTTTTTCGATCTTCAAATCGCCATAGCGTCCTTGCCATGACTCCAAATCAGCTGAAACTTTGCAGGAGGAATGAAAATGCCATGCTGAATCGATTGGTACCATTTTCGAAGGGTTTCCTTGAAAAATAAAATTTAGCCTGCACTGGCTAGCAAAGACACACACATACACGCGCGCACGCGTGCACACACACACACGCACACGCACGCATGCCCGCACGCATGCACACGCACACACAGACAGACACACAGACACACAGACACACAGACACACAGCTCTCACTCACATGACAGTAACCTAAACTAGTTCGTACTGGCCTTATTACTGAAGTCCACGCATTTTCGGCCTAGTCAAATTTCGGCCTCCCAGGGCTGAAGCCCATTTCGGCCGCATCAAATTTTCGGCTAAACATGACCAGCCCGAAAATAGCCGAAAATAAAATATGCGCCGATTATATGTTGACTTGTCGTAGTTTAATAGTACTGGACCCATGCAAATATTTTCAGGCTTCATTCCCTTTGGTGATGGCTACGGATGCGGAAACTTAGTCTGGCCAAGTCTCTTGCGCGCGAAGCCAGAACTTCTCTTTCACTTACTCTTGATAAACTCCGAGTTGTTCGTCATGACATAGCCGTTGAAGACGGGAGCAATCCTCAGCTCCTCACTGCCGTTTCCGACCACAGGCACAAAGCTCGAGTTCAGTGTAAACTGTGCAGTGGCAAGACAAGACACGTTCAAGGCATAGGTGTGTATCAGCGGGTGAGAAATGAATGCACACAGGCAAGGATGTCTACGAACCGTACAGGCGCTTTGCACCGCCGTTGGAAGTGGTCCGGCCAGAGGGGTGCGCGGGGGTGGGGGGGGGGGGGGGTCTCCCCGGGAAAATGTTTGAAATTAGGGTGCAAAATCCTGCATTCTGGGCACTTCTGGGCGAAAAAGTGGCCCGGCTTTGTGGCCCAACCAAAGCTGGACTGGCCGGACCGGGTGCTACGCCCCTGCTACCGTAATATGGTGTAATAAATCAGGGCTTATGCATGTAGAAGCCAATGTCAGGGCTAGGCTTCTATTCAAACCAGGTGCTCCTATGTATGTTAAAATACTAAACACAGGCCTATGTGCTGCCGGTGTATCTTCCTGATCAGGCTTGAGTTCAGAACGGGCTTCTATGCGAGACAAGCTTCAATACAATCATGACACTATCGTATGTCTACATATGCATGTCTCAGGCACGCACACATATACACACACACACACACACACACACACACACACACACACACACACACACACGCACGCACGCACACACGCACGCACGCACGCACCCCCCCCCCCCCACACACACACACGCACACGGTGCACGCATCCAGTGCTGACTCTGAGACCTCCGGTCGGACTAGCTGGACTCGCCTCACCTGCACCTTGCTTTCGCATGTCCTACCCCTTTTGTCTGTTTGTCCTAGTCTTCTGTCCCACTTTACTGTCACCCCACATCATCAGTAGGACCGTGTGCTTTAAACTTTAAAAACAAAACAAAAACACCTGCCACCATGCACACGGTCTCACACACACACTCAGACACATGCCACACTTCAAGCACGGGCCAGAATCAGCTCTTACCTGTTTACAGTATAATTTATTGCCAGTCAAGGTGGCAGTTGTGTTTTGTGACAATTGACCATCCCGTGACGATATGCTGCATTCATACGTGTCTCCCTGTTGACACACAGACGCAGAAATACAATCAAACCCAACGGCCGTTACGCTCCCAGGCTCTGTATTGGGTTTGAAAGGGACGTGTCCAAGCCAGGCCCGAGCCATGACAGAGCCACACTAGCAAGAGATGTGAGGAGGCTTCCTCCTCCTCCTCCTCATCATCATCATAATTATACACTCATATAATCATATTCTCTCTTCTACGGGCGGTCCAGGATCGAGCACTGCCCGTAACTCCAAGTTGTCCTTAACTCTGGATCCTGCACGTTTTGACGGGGAAATGCAAGCTATCTGGCATATGACATCATTATTTCCACAAAATTTGGCAAGAGAGTAGCAATATTTCCACTAAAACCTGCCCACATGGTGCTGGTTGAAAGAGGCGCCCGTAACGTCGAGGTCCGAACAAGAGAGATATGAGCGTAGTGTTCTCCGCTACGGTCGGAATGGATCGAATTTGACCCAGGAGTGGATATAATTACCGTATTTCTCCGATTAAAAATCGCACTCGATTACCAGTAGTAGTGTTGAAACGAGCGTATCTATAACAAACGAGCGATCTGTTCCACTAACGAGCAAGCTATCGAGCGAGCTAACGATTTTTTGAATATTTTTTTTCTAAGTTCAATTTTTTTCAGCTGGTTCAAATTATCATCGCCGGCATTTGGGGTTGCTGCTGCTTCACTTCGGACTGCTGTTTGGTGTCGAGATGTCTTTTCAGCGCCGTAGTCGAGTAGCCTTTGTAAGAATAGACCGTTTTGCAAAGATTGCAAGTAGCCCTGGTCTTCGCTGCATCGCGGGAGAAAACTTCCAAACGACTGAGCGTAACTATTTTACTTTCACTCGAATGGAGAGGTGACCGAAGCATATCCTGCGACAGGTCAGCAGATGCGGAACAAGACATCAGTGGAGTCCACGAAAGCTGCAACGACAACTGAACCAACTCAAGTGTCGTGCAGGCATACAGTCACTGTAACTGCGAGTGATTTTCACTTTGCGCGGGACTGGACTCTCGATCGACCAGGGAGTCGTAAAAATTAATATTTTATGACTCTCCGGTCGACATGTACTGCCATGTGTACGGAGTACGGTGTATGGTGTTCGTTAATGCAAACGAGCTGGGCGCACAAACGAGCCGAGTTTCTGGCGAGCGAGCTAACGAGTATCCGGTGAGATCGTTTCAACACTAACCAGTAGCACCCTCATTTTCAGGTTTGAGCAATATTGATTTGATATATTGACTTCAGTAGTAAGTCACGTTCGATTGTAAGTCACATCCCCTTTTGCCCTTGAATTTTAGTGAAAAAAGGTGCGTGACTTATATTCGGGGAAATACGGCATGTTGACTTCCCACGTTATCACATGAACACAACATGACGACCCGTCAATCCATCCCCACTGGCAAAGGCACGCCATGGGCCGGGTACACCGGACTGTTAGGTGCACCCATGTGCCGTCTCTCCACATTCACCCCGTCCACTCTAACACAGCTACAGTCCATTCATAATAAAAAAAAGATGGGTCCTGGCTCTGGCGAGCTCCCGTTTTTGTGATTTTATTACACATGGTGCAGTGCCGCGAAATGTTAAACTTAAAAAAGGGGTCCAAAAGGTACCTCAACTGGGGTTCGAACCGCACAATGAACTGTTGCAAGTAGAATGAAACGGCCTGGACTTCCCCAATTCAGTGCTTTTGGAGCTAAACCTGGCCGAAATCCTATTCTTGTCACGGTTTACTTTTTGGAGAAATAGACTTCAGGAACATAATTGGAAGAGCATTCCATAGGGGATTGCCAAAAAAATTCCAACCCCCCACCCCTCAAAGTTTGACCCGTTTATGGCCAAATGCTAGAAGTCCATTTTTTTTACGAATGGACTATATTGGTGCCGCTAGGGTTTACTAGGTGTTAGCGGCCGTCATGAGCTCTCTTCGGGAGCGGACACGATAAATTACTTTTCTTTTGTTGACTGCAGTAATCTGTATACTTACAGTACGAGGCGCCGGGAACGCGGTGGAAGTGAACGTCAGGTTGGTCGCTACGGCGATACTGATTGCCAGCGGGTCAACGGCGGATATCACAGGACAGCTCATCACCTGACAGCCGCGGACAGAGAGCAAGAGAATGCAAAACAGGACGTCGGCTTTCAAGAAAAAACCTCATCGTGTAACAGCAGCTGAGAGTGCACGTGATTTCAACATGAAACAAGGCCAATAGTAGGATATTGATATTACTAGTACATACTAGTGTTTTCAAGGATTCTCCCGAGGAAAATGGATGCCTATCAAAGGGAGTCTCCTGGGGAAAGGAAGTGAAGGTGGCTGTTATGAGAGTGAGAGCGGAAGGGACATGACAAGGTGAACAAATAAAAAAATGATGCAAACAGGAACAGCAGAAGCTACTTGCAAAAATACGGACAGAAAGAGGAATGGAAAGCAGAGCAGTGTGTCAAGCAGTGATGATGATGAAAGTATATGATGGGTGGGAACTGAGATTCAAATCTGCTAGGCAAGACAGGCACAGTGCTATACACGTGGCAATATCCTAGGTCGTGCATGCATCCACACGCATGCACGCGCACATGCACGCACGCACGTGCACATACACACCCACATACACACATACACACACACGCGTGCGCGCACACACACATACACACACACATGCACACACACATACACACACATGCACACACACACACACACATGCACACACACACACACACACACACACACACACACACACACACATATACACACACACACACGTACCTGATCACTACAACCACCTGTTGGACGGCATTCGTTTGCGTACGAGCACCATCCGCACCCAATCTGAGCATCTGTACACTGCTCACATCTAGAAACAGAAATCAAAACACATTTTGTTTATGCTACGATCTGCTGTCGCAAGAGGCCAGACCACGGCCCTCATTCTGCCCGACGCTGCATCTCGTTATGGCTCTCTTTCAATTCGTTGCTGTGGTTCGGCGCAGCTCGCTGGAAAGCCCTACCTGCGGCCTGTCACCAAGCCGCCAGTATGTCTCCCGCTGAATTATGCCGCCACATTAAGGCTGCATTCGTTTTTAGCTACCTGGTAGAGTAGAGTAGAGTAGAGTAGAGTCACTCTACCGATAGAGGTAGACGGTAGAGGTAAGTGCACAAACGCTATTCTACCGGATTTAGTAGTTTTTCACGATATGTAAGTGAAATGTTTCTCTTCCGTATGGAGTTGAGTACAAATCCTTGATCTTGCTGGAAATCCCGTAGCTCTACCAACTTTGTCCTGGTAGAGCCGTTAGAGAAAAGTAGAAGCTACCCTTTTGAGTAGAAATAAACAAACACCTCTACCGAAAGGAGTAGTCTCTACCGAAAGGAGTAGTCTCTACCGAAAGGAGTAGTCTCTACCGAAACCTGTAGATCAAAAATGAACGCCCCCTAAAACACTAGGGGTGAACGGTTACCCTTTAACCCTTTTCGAGCCAGGAGCGCATATATGCGCTCTGAAACTATGACGTGCTTTGCCATGAGCGCATATATGCTCGTAAAAATCGCGCACTTTATCGCAGTGCATAGACCAGTGTACGAACGATCGTAACTCCGTGAAACAAAAATAGCCTTCAACATTTTGTGCCAGGAGGACCCTGCCATGTCATGCAATTCACAGCAAGTACACTACATTGCGACAAGCGCAGCATGCGCACTTACTACGCTACATGCAGTCCACATTGTCATATGTTGCAGGATTGAACCAGCAACAACATATTCAAACTGTACATCCAACTGTACGACTGCACAAGCCAGCTAATACTACCGTACACGACTAACGGGTACTCGTTTGCTAATGGATCAGCCGCTAAACGGACGGGTACCCGGATCACTCCTTTCACCCCTATACATAACACGCCTAGGGTTCACTGTCAGCAGGCATCCCTGCCTATTGGCAGTCCCCTATGATACCCTGACGATGGGCTAGGCCCGACAATTTGGTGTAATGTAAATTTTGATTTGAAATCGCACTGAAGAGGCCGTTTTTTGGAGTTTTTAGTTGAGAAGTGAAGTTTCCTGAATGGGTAATCTGATGATTTTCATTTGCTCCCTTATCACTGGACAGTTCTGTCCGTTTGGTTTGCAAATACAAAACCAACCAAAAAAATTTTAAAAAACGAGACAGGCTCTCATTCGAGACAGTACTGTACTATACATTATCTTCCCACCTCCCCCCCCCCCCTCCTCCCCCCCCCTCCTCCCCCCCCCCTCCTCCCCCCCCCCTCCTCCCCCTCCCCCCCTCCTCCCCCTCCCCCCCCCTCCTCCCCCCCCCCCTCCTCCCCCCCCCCTCCTCCCCCTCCCCCCCTCCTCCCCCTCCCCCCCCCCTCCTCCCCCTCCCCCCCCCCTCCTCCCCCTCCCCCCCCTCCTCCCCCTCCCCCCCCCACCTCCCCCACCTCCTCCCCCTCCCCCCCCCCCACCTCCTCCCCTCCCCCTCCTCCTCCTCCCCCACCTCCTCCTCCCCCACATCCTCCTCCTACCCCTCCTTCCCCACCTCCCCCCCCCCCCCCACACACACACACACTACCGTGTCCCCTACCTTGCCCCCTGCCCCTGCGTCCCCTCGCACAAAAAAAACGCCATACCTTGTGATGAACTGACAGTTGTACAGTGACAGCTTGGTCTCGTCAGTGGACAGGAGCACCCGTTGGAGTGTGCTGCTATATATGGCCACGTTGACATCGGCAAAACCTGAGGTAACAACAGACAAAGCCGAAGTGACCACAATGATACCGCAATACAAACGTAACTGCTCCCACCGATATACTCACTCGGGCGCGTCGCCCGCATGGGCATGGGGGGGGGGGGGGGGGGTTGGGAGGGGGCACATGCCCCCTAAAAATTTCGACCTACCCGGTAGGTTGAGCATATACATAAAGACCATGGATGGCATGCACCAGTCATCCGTGGTCACATACATGCGAGGCGGGAAACGTCCAAGGAAGGCAAGGGTACGTTCACACTGACGGAAAGGCCCAGTTGGCGGGACGGGAACACGCCATGTCACGTGCACAAGCCAGCCTCGGGGAAAATGAAACTCGCGTTAATTCACGCCTGATGTTTCCGCCAGCAAGGGAAGTCGGGCGTGAAATCGTTTGGAGCACTGAAGTCAGTGAAGTCAGCACTCGTGTAGGGAAATAGTACGAAAATACTGTTACATGATTGTACAACTCGAACCGCCGGTACATAACCACAATACCAATCTAGAGGCGTGTGATTATAGGACTCAATGGCGCTTTTTTCCGTATCGAGAATGAAGCGCTGAGGCAAGCGCTGAGACATATTCTCATCATTGCTGAGACAACAAAAACTCCCCTCCCCGCGCACGCAACTGACAAACAAAAGGAAAATACTGTAGTTCATTGTCGCTGCTTCCAAAAATCTACAATCGATCCACTACCTACTCACGCCACCCCAGTTCCTCTACCTACTCATGCCACCCTAGTTCCTCTACCGACTCACGCCACACCCTAGTTCCTCTACCTACTCAAGCCACCCTAGTTCCTCACTACAGACTATAAAGTAATGCGATGGCGTGAACCTTCCCAGCCCAAAATTTGAGCTGGGAAGGTCCTGACGCCATCGCGTTCGCGGGAAGCTGGCGGGTGAATCACACGACCTTGTTTCGGGTTCACGTGACCCTGCTATCATGACAACCAGCCCTTCCCGTGAATGTGAACGGACACTAAGGAACGACAACTAGCCATGAGGAATTTATTGTCCAAGGAAAGGTTCGTACTTTTTTGGTCCTCCTCGTCGCTGCTCTCGGTGCTGGTGACAAATATTTTCGCTCGGGAGCGAGCAACAACAACAACAACAGCAGCAGCGGCAACAACAACAACACACGAGCATTGTCGAGTGCACACTACCTTGACCGTTGGTTCCTCCTCGCGGCGAGGCACACGTGAAGGTGGTGGACCCCGTTGCCGTGGTGCTGGATGTTGCAGGCACGCTCGCCGCACTAGCGAGACTCGGCACGTCGGGATAGCGGCACTCAAACGTTCCGCTCACGGCCGGGAAGTTGTCGGCGCTAAGGGTAATCTGAGCGTATAGAACACACACACAGGTGAAGAGATATCGATGATGAGTGATTTCTTTGGTGCATAAAAGGGGTGGCCCGCGAAGGTTAATCTGATCGTATAGAACACACATGCGGAGAGACATCAGCAATGGGTTGCTGTTGTTGTCTACTTTATTTATACTTGGTCAGGCCCATCGCAATTGTCGCTTATCTATCGCCACTAAGAACAGGAGTTTTGTTGCCGCTCTGTGAAATTTTCAATAGGCATAGTGAGGAAGCATGATACATGAATACTCTCCGCCACAAGAAACAAAATTCAGCCCTGGAAACAGGTGAAGCGAGTCATAGAAGGGAAGCAAGGTAAGCAAAATGCACGAAATAAATCAGCGAAGGAGCGCTCTTGCACTCACACTCCTACAGGTCCAGACGGTTTATTCAACTCTCCATCACTCGTGCCGCTTACATGAGCTGACATTAAATTGCTGGTGTCTAGCTGCTGGCGTAGACTGGTAGAGTATTTCTTGCTTTGTCAGCCTGTGAGTGTCCTATGTGCTTGAAGGAACCGTGGGCAGTGTGACCTCTGTGTCACCACAGTGTGTTTCAACAAAGCCTTCAAATGAGGCATACAGGCCTCTCCAGACAGCTGTCATACGCTGCAATGGATACGCTGATGACGACTCTTGTAATGCTGCTGCCAGGTCCACGAAGGAACAAAAGGAACAACCAAAACTTCCCTCGCATGCGCATCGCATCGAAAACACCTTTCTTCTTCAGTATAACGCTCATACTCCTCTGCCGTGCACGCGTGCCCGTCACGCTCTCCAGGATGTCAGTTGCCCCTGCTACAGTTCCGGTCTTCGGGTCGCTGTGCTTGGCTTTTTTGGCAACACAGACAGTGAATGGCCAGATTTCCACTTCCCAAAAAAGTCAAACACATCGCGATTCAAAGCGCTAGCCGCGATCATTTTTTCTTTGGTGCCTCATTTGATCTTGCCATCACAACCTCCCAAGCAAAAGTAAGTTAGATATCGTGATTGGACTGGGTTTTACCTGTCAAAAAGTGCGTGGGAGATAAGCGACAATTGCGATGAGCCGGACCAAGTAGTTGCAATCAAAACAATCATACGCCTAATATCAATGGACCCACTGGGAATACAATTTAAAGGAGGGTGTGGAAAGGTAGAGATGAGAAAAAGAGAAATACGGGCGCGCAAGTAGCTACCTGACCAAGTGGACCGACGGTTCCGGCGGGCCTGTTTCTAGCCGTACACCGCAACCCTGCTTTGGGCACAAATCTTCTCTGGCGGTCACTTTAACGGTACTGTGTTCAGCTGTAGCCTATTGAGCCATGTCATGTGATGTAAGACCCGGCCTCTGCAGCGCTGGATAGGGGGTGGCACTGGCGGTGGCACACTCTATTTGAATTCGTCGTAACCTTACGTTTGCAACGCGTCTCCATCGTCTCATTGGGTCTTCATCCCGTTCAAATGTGCAACGTAAACAAAGTTTCCCTTTTGCCCAGCGCATGCATTACGGACATCAAATGAAGCGTGTGGATCTCAGCTTTGCAGAGCAGTTTGAAACGTGAAAATTGGTTGGATTTGAGCAAGGAGCCGAAAAGAATGTGTGACCGAGTTGTTGTTTCGTTCCGAGGCATGGTGGGCCAGTTTGGAGAGGCAGTGAAAGTGGCCCTGGTGGGACTATGGAGCTAAGAACTTCCAGGATGAATTCGCCTCGTACTAATCTGTCCAGGCCCAGGATGTTGAGATTTCATCCAGGGGAACTGAAATGAGAATAAATTTCTTTCGGAGCAGTGCGCCCAAACTCCACCAGGGTAGTCCGTGCGCTGGAGTGCCAGATTACTGGGGAAAACAGGTCGGCATGCAAAGAGTTAATCTAGCCAGAAGCAGTCCATGGTTAATTAACAGGCATGTGTACTTCAAATAGAAATTATATGCCCCCCCCCCCCCCCCCACACACACATTTTCTTACTTGATCGGACACGAGGGCAGAAGTGAGCGGAGGTGTTATTGCTGTGATGTTTGGACAAAACATATCGTCCATGATATATAAGTTAGAGAACCCTGGTAGATCGCAGCGTGCGCTATTAACAGCCGGTCCTCCGTCATTCTTACATCTATTATCGTAAACACAGATTCGCACACACAAAATACAGAGGCACACACACTCACACATGTACACATATGCGCGAGCACACACACACACGCACACACACGCACGCACGCACACACACACATGTACACATATGCCGTCAGGCAAAATTACTGGTCAGTCGGCGACACGCATTTTTCACAAAAATTTGCGTTTCTCCTGCTGGGAGAGTATGGGCATGTTCGATTGGTAGGATCGGGATCCCGATCCACCGGATCCACTGGATTCGCACCCTTTCGATTGGTCGAATCTGGATCCGGATCCTTCGGATTTGGATCCGGTCAACCCACCTCGGGGAGCAGGGTTGACCGGATCCAACGGATCCAAATGTGACCTTTGTGCGTATATGGCGAGTAAAAATCGTTTTTGTACACATTGTGGTACGCACACGTGGATCGAGATAGACCTTGCTGACTTTTTGTACATCTGGCGCGGTGAGTACGACTTTTTATTACTTTCGTCAACATGGCAACAGTCAAGGCCCAAAACAGTGTCCAGGTGACTCTGCAGGATCCGACGGATCTGAGATCTGGATCCCGATCCCGATCCTTACCAATCGAACATGCCCTATGCGTGTACTCGAGTCTCATCCTGAGCACGTTTTTTTCTTCTTTTTTTTCAGCTCCAGTATAGCTGTATTTTTCATTGCAAAGCCGTCCTCGATTGTTGTGTTCGTTGTTCAAACGAAGTGGACATTCAATCATGAAGGCAGAGGACATAGGAGCCTGATTGGAGTTTCTCGTGGCATAGGACGGCCACACAGAGACACTTTGGGATTTTCTGAATATAAAATACCGTACGCACGATGCTGAGATCAATTTGTGCGATATCAAATTGTTTGTGATCTACCACATCAAGCAGAACGGGATCCAAACACAAGCTTACCGACGGTTAGGCTGCCGACCTGACTGGACAAATGATCCCTGGCTTCACCAGACGCCAGAAGTCGGACACCATGTCCTTTGCCGCGACGTCCATCTCCAAAAAGAACTCGCATCTTCGTCGTGAAAAGGCTTGAAATACTCAATATTATAATACGGTACTTTTTTAAATAGGTAGTACTACGGACTCAACTCTGGAAAAGAAGTGCCTCTGAGGACTTTCTTCCACTCACTGAGGGGGAATGTCTGTCTCATCACAGTTCCAGTGTGTACAATATCAATTCGTTTAACCGTTAAGTCAATGAACAGAGTGAGTTGCACGCTCAGCATAATAACCATCGGCAGAAACTACTTGTCGTGTACAAATTCCCATGTCGTTTAGTAGGCTTTGCTGACGGTTTTCTACTGGGTGCACAACGCACTCTATTAATGGCGTTAATGTCATTCTTATCTCTACGGGAACTTATAAATTTGTCATGACCCGAATTCGACTCGTCGTGAAAGCGACCACGCATTGAGATTCAGCAGCCAAAGCTGGGCTCCGACATATTCTAGAGTTCTGTAAGAACTATGATTAGTCCGGCGAAGGATTTGGCACTTTCGTTAGTTGAGCAATCATGGCTTACAACTCGTGGCCTAGAGTCGCAAAATGTTGTCGTACGTCGGCAACACCTTCAGTACAAGTCGTCAGCATTGTACTCACTACACTGTTGAGCTTGAGGGGACCATGCTTAGTCCTGCAAGGGAGCTGATACCTTTGTTAGTCGAGCAAGAATGGCACCTCTTCTCGCGTCGTACGACGTAAAGAGTCCTGCAAGTGCTTCACGCACTGCGGACTCCGTTATCCCTTTTGGGAGAGAGGTCACGGCTTGACCGTGCGGCACCCTACAGGGCGATGAGAGGGAAGGGTCTACGGGCATGGGATGAAGGGTGACCATCGATGCAGCGTACAAAGGCGGCGTCCTCCAGCGAAGGCAATTCCCGAGTACACAGGCAGCGTACTCCAGGCCACCCGTCGCACAAAGAGCCTCGGAGTCCAATTAGCAATACTTTCATGTAATGTGGGTGAGCGAGCTCCCCGGAATACGCTACTAAATATTTACTACTACTTTATTACATCACAAATTATACTATTCCAAATCACATAAAAGCCGCCTTCCCCAATGAAATAAAGATCTTTGATCGCTCCCTTCGACCTTCGACTACCTTGTGCGAGCCGAAAAACAGGTGAGCTACTTATCTGCTTGAGTCGACTATATTGGTTGACTGCCTGGTGCCACTAGATGGATCACCAGCCATGACAATTGGTGCTGTGACCAGGATCAAGCGATAATGCTAAAACATTGTTATGTGTGTCCTTTTCTTGAACAGAATCGAGAATGGCCGACAACCAGCACAAGCGTGGCCCACCCGCGGCGCGACAACTTCCACGACATGCAGGTCATCAGCAGGACTTGATCGTGGCCCTACAGGCGGGTGCCGCAGCGCTCGAAGCCTTGCATAGGCATCATGCCCATGCCCAGAAGCTCCGGGCTCTGGCCGGCGGGCTAACGTCAGTATTGACAGCGCTGAAAAAGTTTGCTTCAGCTATCGAAGATGGGCCTCCCCCGAAGAGGCCAAGACCCGCAACGCCTCGTGCAAACGCCGTTGCTGCAGCCCGAGACGCCGCCAAGGCCGAACGGGAGCGCCTGACGGCAGCCACCGACACAGCAGCCGACGACGCCGCCAGCTTGGCC